AACCTCAAACAAAAATTTTGTAATTAAAAAGTATATTGTTTGTGGACCTGGGCAGGGAGAGAGGGAGAAAGAGAAACACTATTCACTATTGTTTTCCTGCCATTTAAAAGAATAATAAAAAAGCCTCATAAAGATTTTTAGGTCTATGTCACTATCCCACCAATAATAATCACAGACAAAAGTGGAGGAAAGATCTTACCACTCCCTGATGAATAATACAGTGGCCAAGAGTAGCTTTAAGTTTTGAGGATATTTTAAAACATATATAGAAAAAGGGACTTGGGTTAATATCGATTACCATTATTATTGAATCCTAGGGTTTAAACTGTTCTCTATAGCAGGGTAAGGAATCTGCTTTCCAGATCACTGGGGCAGTACAGTATTTTCTCCTGCCTGAAAAGTTTCATATGTGTGGGAGATCATGCCAATGATCATGTTCAAAGCAGGCTGTAAGCAATGCAGGCTGTAAAGAGTTAATGCCATAATTGGCTTATTTTAAGAAGTGAGTCTGACCAAAGCATATGAGATAACACACACCTGAGGTAAGAGTGACTCTTACCCAAATTCTGTTTCCAGCCTAACACAAATATGCTTTGTCTCTTCATTTACAAGCCTTTCCTGTGTCAGCAACGCATCCTTAGCAACCACATATAGCTCCTTACCCCAGCTTAACAATGATTGTGTCACCAATAATATTGAAGGCTCTGGCTATTCAGGGCCTTTGCTTGCTCAAGCACTGGTCATCCCAGTTGCCCATCTTTGTCTCTTTAATTCTGTCATTAAGTCTTTCTTCTCCTCGCCATGCACCGAGCACTGAGCAGGAGATTGGGATCCACTGCAGGTGTTTCTGATACATTTGAAACATACAACATCCTGTTTCAGAAACATTAAACTTTATAAGTGTTACTGTCTGGTTAGTGGGTTCTTCTCTTGACCCAGAAAGAATAACAGGGTAGAAAGTCAAAAGAGGACCAAGCACAAGTATTTTTTTGTAGAGCAAAAGCAGAAAGCAGCATTGATTGTAAGCAAAAGCAAACAGTCCTCAAGTTGTTAACTTAGGAGGGGGCCCAAAAAGAGTTGCCAAAAGGCCTTTTCTGTCTAGGGGTTTTTATACACAAAAATGACTACATCTCAGCCAAGTTGAGATCAACCTATGGAAGAGTTTGATGTAGAAGTGGGCCTATAGGAGCTCAGGGTATGCAGTAGGTGAACTCCTGCAGGCAACATTAATTGTGGCTTTAAACAGAAGAAAGACATTCTTTAGATGGGTATGAATATCTTATTTCTGGGCAAGAAAATCCCACCAATCTAATGAGACTTTTGTTTACTGAGTCTCCAGATGTCCTGGCCCTGGTCATCTACACATCCTTCACTGAATCTTTCTGATTCCCTCTTTGACTCAGTCTCTTCCAGGTCCCCTGGCTGCCTGTCATGTTTGTGGACCACCTTTTGCTAGAACACTTCTTACACTTCCTTCCCCTTATTATAGGCAGCTAAGTTAGACAGAAATTAGTTTACAGTCAGAAAGGGACTGGGCTCTCAAGGAAGTCAATGAAAAATAAAGACATCAGAATTATGACTGGAGGCACATCTGAAGAAGACCAGGTCTCAAGATAGAGATGCAATGGCCAGGCCTGCAGGCCTCCCTAAGGGATAAGTAACTTGGAATTATTCTGTAATTAGCACCATCTGGTCCATTAAGTCCAGCTAGGCATCAATCATCCAGGTGGGTGACCAGAGCATCCAGACCCATCCCTTCCCAAACTGCCTTTGTTCTTTCCATATATCCTTGCTATGTGACTCATTTCCCTATTGGATCAATGTTAGCTAAGTAGCTTTACTTGTAATCCTATTGGTTGATTATAGTTTGACCCACATTGTGGCTTTGCTGTATCCATTAACCCTGACAAAGGGCCTCGGTAACAACCCACTCAGGACTCCTTATGTCTCTCAATAAACCTTTCCTACTCTTAACCCTTGTTGTTCCTTAAAATTCATTCTTCAATTTTGGGGGACACAAACTTGGCACATCTGATATCTAGCAGGTTGCAAGTTATAGTTCTCCTACATCACCTTCATGGACCAGTATCCCTCTGGGAAATCCTCTCATCTTCGTCACTCATCTCAGTGAGTACTCTTGGTAGCCTCTTGTTAGGTTTTGAAAATGACCCCTAAACCTTGGAAAACAGAACCTAAGCCCAACCATGCCTGTGGAGGGCTCATGGTCCATTCTCCCCAGGTCTCTCATTAACTCCCTGCTCCAATAGGCAAGTAGATTTCAGGTCATTAAAGACATGGATATGTTTGCTAAGACTTTATCTAAAGATTCATGAGAACTATAGGAGCAATTTATATTCCAGATCCTTTTTTAGTAAATCGAGAGTGTAAAGTAGGTTTCCAATTTGGTATGTGATGACAGTAAAATACAAATTCACATATAGGGAGATCCCTTGATATTAACAACTTGAAGTCAGAAGTGAAGGTCAACAAATGCATGTTTCCGAAATACAGGTTTTTCTGAGTACTTGTTTCTCAAATTCTTTGAAAATCTGGCCAATTAGTCCCATTTCAATATACCAGTTCACATAAGAAGCAAGTCAGAACATTTCCAAGTGGTTGTTTTCCTTTATGTAGCCAGCAAAAACACAGCTCGAAGCATAGGACGTAATGATAAAAGGATTTGGGAGCAGCTGATTTTAGGGACTCATAAAAACAACTCACCCTTCTGCCCCAAGGTATAAATAATATGCAGAGTCTGCACTGTGCTTCCAGTGACATGAAATCATCCTGCTTTTTCTCAGTGAGATTAACTCATGCCAGAGGAGAAGAAATATAAAAATGTAAAGATTGAGATCTCTGGTTTGGTAAAGTGAATAGCACCTGTATTACAATATTATGAATTCTCTCTTGACTTTGTAAATTCCTTGAGGTTAATTTATATACTTCTCTTAAAAATTTAGGAGTGGAATACATATTAATTATATGTGGAGGCACCGAGTTCTCTGCTACTTGCTCTTTAAATTGGGGTTGTCTAGATCATGGCATCCTTAAAAAAAATTTTTTTTAACTCAGCCATAAAGAATGAGAAACTGGAGACATTTGTAGCTAAGTGGATGCACATTGAGGCCATACTCTTAAGTGAAATAAATAGGACACACATGTGTAAATACCAATAGTTTCTCTGGTGTGAAAAGCTAAAAGTGTAAATAAGAATCAAAATGTATAATTGATATTGTGAAATAGGAAGAAAATATCTAAAGAAGTAGGGGAAGTGGGAGGGGTAGGGGAAAGGGAAGAAGGGGAAAGAAAAAATATGAGAAAAGGAAAAACATGGAAACAAAGTCTTCGTAAATAGGGAAGGGTGGAGGGGGTGAAGGGAGGGCAGGGGAATGGGGAAAAAATAAGAACCAAGATACATCATGTACAGGTACAAGATCCCAATGAAGAATGTAACTGTATTGCACACCTAAAATGTACCGATAAACTAAATGGAAAAAAAACTTTTTCTGAAGAGATATGTGAAGGAATTCATTTGTGCGATGCATTTATATAACTCAATCAGGAAATGGTGAATATGAAGTGTGATTAAAAAAACAGTGAATGTTTAAAAGATGTATTAAAGTAAAACACATTGACATTAATTCTCCCTCAAAATATCTCCCCTTGCTGTGAAGACATTCATCCCCTTGTTCTTACTACTTTCTGAAGCAGTTCTGAAAGCTCTTTTGTGTCTTTAGGAGGTGTGATAATGCAGTGAATGCTGCTGCCCAGTGCTATCCAACAGGAAGGCAGTCTCACAAAAATATGGTGTGTCTTTATCCAACTTATTCACCAGTTCTGGCACCATGTGGCTTCTCGGCTCTTTTCCAAAGTCAAAATGACCACGAAAGGTAAACATTTTGACTTGATTCAGGATATGGAAGCAGCCATGAAGGTGCAACTAAAGACAGTCATGAAAGAGTGTTACTGGGTTTTGGGGAGCTAGAGTATCTTTCTACAGGTAGTCTTTAGGTTCCTTCTGTCCTGAACAAAGAATTGGTTAAGACAAGCACAAAAGGTAGTGAGATTTTACATTTATTAAAAGTATGAAAAGAAACATGCTCTGCAGAGATAGCTGCAGGCCAATGAAAGGTAAGAAGAGAATGGAATAAGTAAAGGTAAGAAAAGAAGTACACCATAAATGGTGAGAGCAGACCACTGTGGAAGCAAGAGTGCCAGTGGCCATGAGGAAAACGGCAACCACCTTATGTGTCTCCCATTCCTCTGGGTGAAGTGATCTAGGCCATTCTATCAAAAACCTACTTGGGTTCTCTGAGAAGAATTTGAGACAGCTCTCTGATTGTTTCCATATGGGAACCCTTCTGCCCACTTGTCCCCGAACTTTGTGATAGGCAGATCACCGCCCACTTCCCCAGCCAGTTTGCCACACCCTGATCTCCTGCCTCAGGAGGACTTCTAGAACTGCTTCACAAAGTGGGAAGAAAGATGGGATAAGTGTGCGCAAAGGGAGATTAATGGCAATGTGTCTTCTACTGTAATTTTAACAATTTAAACATTCTCTTATTTTTAGATGACACTGCATATATTCATAATGATTTACTTCCTAGGTATCTACCACTGTTCCAGCTGCTTCTCATGAATTCTTCTTTAATTTTCCAGTATCTAGGATAGAGATATGATTATCCTCACTTTACAGATGAGGAGACTGAAGCACAAAGACATTGCATTACTGAGCAGGTACAATCTGGTGCCAGGACTTGAACCTAGGAAATTCGACTCTAGATCACTGCATTGTATTCAGGGTCTGAATTTACACCTGAAACTACTCCCCTGTGAGGCACTGCTAACAGCAGTTTATAAAGTGCGGACATTTCACACGGCCTTTCCTTGATCAGGCGGCTACAAAGACTGGCCTGGGTAATTCCCGACTTGCATGCGCCTCAGGTGTTACTCAGCGGCCTCGCCCGGGTCCCCACCCAGGTGAGTCCTGCTGGCGATTGCCACACCCGACTTTGGGCTGAGGATGCTCTCTGCTCGGGGCTCTGCAGCAGGCCGCTACCATCGCCAACATCTCAACTGGTACCCACTCGGCTGTGCTTAGCAATGTCTCCTGGGCTACAGCAGGTTTCCGTGGGAGACATTTTCTGTGAGATTTGACTAAGAAATGCGAAGCCACGCCGAGGGCTTTAGGGAGACAAGATCCGAACGAGCGCTTCGTCCAGCTGAGTGTGCGGGAGGCTCGGGCCGCTCCTAAGCCGCCTGCGGCTCCGGAAACCAGAACCAGCACCACCCTCGGGCTCTGCGCTCCGAGGACGCTCACAGCCGCTGCTTCCGGGATTGCGGGCGGAGTCGCGCCTGCGCTGTGGGGCGCGGGAGCCTGACGGGGCGGGGTGGGGCGGTTCTCGGCGCAGGGAACCCGGAAGCGAGAAGGGAAGGAGGGGACTGAAAACCGAGCGAACGGCAGCGGTGATGGGAAGCGCGCCCCCGCCGGGACCAGACTGTCTTTCCGAAGCGCAGAGCCGCCCTTCTAAAACCACACCCACGCTCGCGGCTGCGCGCGCGCAGTCCCGCGGCTCTCGAGCGGTGGGCGGGGCCGCGCGCGCCATTCTGACCAATCGCGCGTCTCTCCGCCTCCCGGGTGGCTCTGCAGCCCCGTCCCCGCGGCAGGGTCGGTGTACAGCCTGGGCTGCGCGCGCTTTTTGAGCGTTCCGGGGAAGGTGTGGTTCTCCGGGCTGGGAGGCGGCTGGCGCGGGGCGTCGGTGCCCTGTGGAGGAGTTAGTGGCGCTTCCCTTCTGTGGTCGGGGGAACTCTGCCTCGCTGTGGGCTTTCTGCACTGGCGGGAAGGCGGGCGGCCTTTTGTCAGGTTTGACCTCGCCCCACATCGGCGCCTTTGTCCGAGAAGGCAGCCTGGTGGAGTCTCCTTCTCCGTGTCGGCCTGATGCCTTAGGAGAAACAGCCAGGCTGGGCCAAGTGCTTCCCAGGCAGGCTCAGACCTGGCGGCCGCAGCCCCCCTGAAGCGATAGGGACCAAATGAAGGGACTCCTGTCTAGACAGGTGGTTATTCTTCCCCTGTCCCCCAGGAATGTCGATTCTGCTGATGCTTTAGACGGAAAACAAAGTGGCCACAGATATGAGCTGGTTAATTTGTCACGAGAAAAACTAATAGCCCCCGTATGGGAAGGTAAATAGAAAACTGCAAAAGGGGATTACAACAAACTGTGATCAGAAGTTGCTGGCTAACTGAGGGTTCTTTGATACACACTGAGGACTGCAGATGTATGGTTAATTGGATTTGCACCTTATAATTTTTCTGTTTTAGAAGTAGACCAAGATTTCATTTCCAGTATGGAAAGCCCATCAGACTCGCCTGTGACTCGACCTAGCACCCCACAGACCCGTGCGGATCCATCGCCCCATACAAATAGTTCACGGAAAGCGGTATGACAACCTTGGTTCGTTTGGTGGATCTGTTCTGTGCGTCTAGATTTTGTGGCAGTGGTGGTTTTCAGTCTAGTAAGGAGTTAACGTAATGCTTAACACCTCTCTCTTGATTCCCCACCGCCTTCCCAGGGGATTGTCATCTTGAATCAACTGCTTTTATTTAGTTTCAGTCCAGGTTATTACAATAATCCAAACTGAGGAAGTCTGGATCTGTATAATATCCTTAATGAGTTGGTGGCAGTAGGTCTTATCCTCAGTCTGCAAATCTGAAGCACCCAGAGCAGTGTCAGTCGCATGCTGGTTGCTAGACAAACGTCCATTTGTTAAGTATCTCAGGACTGTTTAGAAGTGTGTTGACTTTGTTAAGAAAATGAAACTATTGGAGTGTGTGGAAACTAAAGACATTCTATGACGCTTGTTTTAGATGTATGGGGACAGAAAGCCATCCAGTAGTACCTGCCATAGAAATGCAAGGCCTTTATTTCTAGTAATTTATTTGCATCAACAATATTTTTCTTGATTAATATTTTTAATGTTTTGTACTCTTTCCAGCCCATGAGTGCAACACTTAAAGAAAGATTAAGGAAAACAAGATCTTCATTTAATTCCTGTTGCAGTGTAGTAAAACGTCTTAAAATAGAGAATGAAGAAAATGATGAGACCTTTCCTGAGAAACCAGCATCTTCAACAGAAGAAAACTGTTTGGAATTTCAAGAAAGTTTTAAACACATAGATAGTGAATCTGAAGAAAATACATACTTGAAAAGTACTCTCAAAAATATCACTGCATGTGAATCTAATTCACTTGATACTAGGTCATACAATGCTCTTCAGAAAGATTCTGTGAATGAGAATCTTGAACAAAGATTAATGGAAGAAAGAATAAAATTGGTGAAGCAGGTGCAGGACAAGGAAGATCTCCTTCGGAGACTAAAACTAGTCAAAATGTATAGATCAAAGGTGAGAAGAATTTCAGAACCATTGCATATTTTAAAATTTTTACATAAATTGCAGAGAAGTAATTTCAAAAGTAGGAAGTAAATTTCTTTTAGCATAATAAAATAATAAGCCAAACATCCAAAAACCTGTTTCCAACTTTAACTGAAATGTAAGTTGATTGGAAGAGACCTGTGAATACCAGATAAAACTTTTTAAAGTCCCAGATTTTATGTAACACAGTTGAAGCTCTTCTCTTGTTTCTAGCCCATAGCAATATTGGAAGTATCAACTGTTAGATGTAAATACAGTGGGAATAGAAGTGACAGCTGATAATGAGTAAAACTTTTAAAAAGGGCCACAGAGTGCAGTAAAAGTATTTTTAATAGTGATCCTGTGATCTCCTTCAAATAATTAAAATGTCTTAGGGATTTTGAGAAACATATTAGATTTTAGATTTCAACCCAAATAGGTTAAGTAAATAGCACTTGGGTGTTTGGAAGGAGATAACCTCTGTTTCCTAGATAATTCATGCCTATGTAATTGCTGCTTCTTCCCCAGCAGTGTGGAATAAATGATGGAGTAGCATATCTTTTTTGCTGGCTTGAGTTTTTAGGGTTTGTGAGATTGAATGTGGTATTTCTAATTTCAGTACTGTCATTTTTTTAGAGCAGTTTTAGGCCACAGCAAAACTGAATGGAACATACAATGTAGTGTCATTTTAAAAGCACAATTGTATGGAAAGTGGATTTTTAAACCTGTATTATTGCTTCTTTACCTAGTTTTGTTCTAATGATTTGAATTTTCTCTTGAGAATAAGTTTGTCCCAGAATTTGAACTAAACACAATGGTAGTAGAACTCAAGTTGAGTGATGCTCTAACCTTTCTACGTATACCAGTTCTGCTTTTTCATAGGTAGAAGTTCCATTCATTCCCAGGAATGTTAGCCTTTAAACCTATACAAACTGATTTGGCAGCTTTGATTGAGTTAAGTAGCATGACTGTCTTGTTACTGACATAACCTTCTTTTTTATTTTTGTCTGTTTCAGAATGACCTCTCACAGTTACAGCTGTTGATAAAGAAGTGGAGAAGCTGTAGCCAGCTGTTGCTTTATGAGTTGCAGTCAGCTATGTCTGAAGAGAACAAAAAACTAAGCCTTTCTCAGTTGATAGACCACTATGGGTTAGATGATAAATTGTTACACTATAACAGAAGTGAAGAGGAATTTATAGATGCTTAATTAATAACTTTTTTCTCAGAGTATTTTTTCGTTCTCTTTTTCTGTTTTTCAGTACTGACTGGGAGATCAAACCTAGGCTCTGCACTTTTACCACTGAGCCATACCCCTTGGCTCCTCTCCAGGAAATCTTTGAGAATGACAACTTAATGAAAAGACACTTAGACATTTTAAGGGGAAGATGTTAGCCATTAGGGCAGTGGTGGTGAGCCTACAGCATATGTGCCACAGAGGGCTGTTGGTGTCCTTGAAAGCTCTAAAAGGTTCGCCATCACTGCATTAGATGTAAGGTATCTTGACCATCAGTTTAGGGTACTCTAAAGACATATAAATTAAGTCCTAAAATGACATACAGTATTTTGAATAGATTTAACAAAGAGAATTTGACATTAACAGACATGTTAAAAGCTGGGTTTGGTGGCACTTGCCTGTCTGTAATTCAGGCATCCTGGGAGACTGATGCAGAAGGATGAAAAATTTGGGCTCAGCCTGGCAACCTAGCAAGACCCTGCCCTTCGGGCCAGGGATGGAGCTCAGTGCAAAGGCCCTGGATTCAATCCCCAAATACATGAATGAATGGATGGATGGATGGGTGAGGGATGTAGTTCTGCGTGAAAGCGCCAGTGTGCCTGCGTGTGCACACAAATTTAAACCATGTTTAAAAACTAATTTGGACAGTCCTGGGAACCCGTTTTAATATATTGTTTTGCTTTTTATGACAAAAAGTCTTATTTTCAGTGTTCGTCCAATCTGGTGAATGTCTAGACCTAAACTGGTCCAAAAGTTCTCACCTCCTAAGAGAGAGGTGAACCTTGTTTCCATTCATTTATTATATCTTGTCATCTGCTGATCTCAGATAATTAAACTTATGTCCAAAATTATACTCTTCTCTGCCTTCACATTTTTCACATTCCGCATTTAATGAAGCAACTGTCCATTTCTTAGGAAATGACCTTATTTTCTACATTAAGATATTCTGCCATACAGGGTTGTTCACATTCATCCTGTCTAGCTTCATCTGTGAAACAGGGAGTGTCTGTTTAGTTCACAGTGACTCCTCAGCCAGAAACCAACCTGTTGTCAAGTTACATATTGTACCTGTCATCTTGGCTGTCTACGGAGACCCAAGCTGGCCTAGTCCCTGAGAATTAAGACTTGAACTCGGGGCAAGAAAGCTCATTCTGTTTGTGGCTGGAGCTGTTAAATGCAAACTTGGAAGCAGCAGAGCTGGCTTCCGTAAGAGTATGTGTGCTTTCTGAGAAAGGTAGAGATAGGTGGGGAGAGCACTTTGTGGGGCAGTGGTTTTACAGCCACTCCTTTTACCAGGTGTATCAGTTTCAGCACAGTCCCTTCTATTGATGTAACCAAGCCTTGATTTGGTACAGCAGGAGACCCCAGGGCCATGGTCTTGTGTCCACCACACACAGAAATCCTAGTTTCTAGACTGCTCTTGCCATTGGCATTTGTGAATCTGGGATTCCTCAATGGACACCTGTAGGTACTGTGCTAGTCCGGTGCCTACCAGCCAGCTTCCACCACAGCTGCCCAGCCAGGGAGCAAAAATGTGGCAGGGGAATTGTTGCCCCTGGTGGTGGTAGTGGCATTCTGGTAGGTCAGTGTGGGGCAACTACTTCGATTTTGGGTTCCACAGCTGTCACTACTGACAGCTGGAGTCACCCTTACATATCCACTTGTGGGACTCTGGTCCTGGAAAAGCTGGGGAATGTAATGGGCCTTCCAGGCACTGGCCCCTGGGCTCACCTGAGAATTCCAGGAACACAGCAGCTACTTGAGAAACAGGAGGTGGGTCATGGAGGATGAATGGGGATTATGGGGCAGTTTCAGATTTGGGGATGTGTGGAGGTAGCCATCTTTTTTTACCATTTCTGTTGAATTTTACTTCCACTTAATGGGAAGGATTTATTGAAAATTACCGAATATCTTCTTTTTATTTATAAAAATGAGAGCTAACCTTTAACAAAATATTTGCGTTGTGCCAAGTTTAAGAGTATAAGTCACGTATTAACACCATAAGTTTAAAGATGAGAAAATTCAAGATTAATAGTTATTTTAAAAACTAAGTGGTTATTTCAAACCAGAGCCAGGATTTGAGCCCAGGCAGTCCAGCAACAGAGCTCATATTCTCTATTCCTATGTATATGACCATGTTCTATATGGCTCAGTTTATATCATTAGTTGATAATGGTAAGGTTTTAAAGGACTAAAAATAGGAACATAATTGCTGTTCAGTAGAAGCTTAGAGGAATCTACCATGAACATAACTGACAGAAGAGTTGGGGTACAAGACCCATGTGTCCTTACCAAACCACCTGCCAGCCTCCAAACCAGAAGATACCTCCTGCTGAAAAGGCTGAAAAGCGTGAGGGTGAGGGCGTCCTGCTAACCTACTCCATCCATTCCTCAAAGCTGAGGCAGCCAAGCCAGAAACACTGTCAGAGTCAACCAGGGTTCATGATGAAGAAACAAACAAAATAGGATGTTTGGTTTGCTAAGACCTGGAATCCACAGAATGTCATCCAGTGAAAAATGCGGCATTAGCTATGAGCAAATGGAGTGTCAGTAGGCACCTTAGGTGATAGGGCACTTCAGTTACGGGGCAGGAGGGGAGGATCAAGTCTAGGACATCCACGGTTGATGGAACTAGCAATGCCAAGTATAAAGTATTTGCACCCCTTGCACACACCCGTGGCCTGGCTCCCTGCTGCCAACAATTCCTGTCCCAGAGATCATCTTAAAGGACCCTAGATACAGGAACTGTTATTAGTGGACACTTCCTTACTGATTAGCCCACTATGTCAGAAGTTACTCTAGTGCCAAGGAGGGGAGCCATCAGAATGATGTTGGTCTTGACACTGACCCATTCCGGCCTGATCACTATGAGGGTGAGCAATGGGACAGCTCTCTTGCTTTACCTGCGCCTGTCTATACTGGATGTGGTACTGTGGATCAAACTTAACATTTGCTTTATAAATTGCAGAGCTGCAGGGACTGCATTGCTGGAGACCGTGGTCAGTGATCCCAGTGTTAGCACCTTACCATGCAGCAGTCCACCAGCTATGAAGGGTGAGGAAGTTTTCTGCTGATTAGTTTTCTCATTGCATAGTTATCACTATCTACATGAGCAAAGCAACAGAAGAAAGCACTTTTTTTTTTGCTAAGCCATGTTGGGTAGGGAACAAATTTGAGCTCTATCACAGTAAGAAATGAAGATTATGTTTTCAAAATATGTCATAATTGACAAATGATGTAAGTCTTGGAAAAAGTAAATTCTCATTGATAGAACAAGGATTAATCTTCAAATTCTGGTAATTTTGAATGAATAAAATAAATCTTGAGCCAGCCAGTGTGGCATGTGCCTGTCATCCCAGCACACACTCTGGGGGGCTGAGTCAGGAGGATTGCAAGTTTCAGCCCAGCCTGGGCAACTGAGTCGACTTAGTGAGACCCTGCTTCAAAACAAAAAGGGGCTGGGCCATCGCTCTGTGGAGGGTCCTGTGGTCAATTTCCAGTACTGCAAATAAATAAGTAGAATACTGTGTTTTTCAGAATGGGGATTGAACCTAGGGCCTTGCACATATTAGACAGGTGTTCTCCCACTCAGCCTGGCATTGAACACTCTCTGTCTTCATATCTTGTTCTTTCTTGAATGAAAATAGTTCTTTTACACACTTATTCATGCAGGACAAAAATTTATATACTGATTACAAGGCTAAAATTAAACAATTTACTATTAAAAACATGCAACTAAGAGGTGACTTTACTTAAATTTCATAATATGAAAGAAAGAGAAAGAAATCATTTTACCCAAATGGAACGATTTTTGAAATGACTGGTTAGGCCTTTGGTTCCTGCTAGTGCTTTACATTTTAACAAGAGCAGGGAATGTTTTCATCCTTAGTCTTTCAACTTCAGCCTGGAGTACTGAGATCTGGGCGGCTTGTACTTTGGAAATATTTGTCAGCTTTTGCTGTTGCATCATACTTTTGTATCGTTCCTTGGCAATCTTTTCACAAGTCAGCGTAGACCCTATCCCCAAATCCAAGGTGCAGGAATTAGTTGGATTATTACCAACACTTTGAAATACAAAAGCAGCACCCAGAAGCAACTGTGTGGAAGAAATTCTCCTAGCTTTATAACTAGCGTACAGATTTCAGAAACACCAATTACCTTTTTTTTTTGGTACCGGGGATGGAACTCAGGACCTTGTGCTTGCGAGGCAGGTGGCGGAACCACTGAGCTAAATCCCTGGCCCCTACCAATTACTTTAAAGACACTTACAGCTGGATGAAGAAAAAAGCCTTACCTATTGCATTGCAGATGTCCTGTCTCTCTGAGACAGCTACCAGCTCTTCTCGTAGATTGCAGCTTAGAGTATAATTTGCTGTGTCTTTTTGATTGTTGAACTTTCCCAATCTTTTGAGTAGTTTTTTGCAGTTATTGACATTCTTTTTGTGGGTCTGAAAATTTTGTGCCCATGAAACCCCACAAAAATAATACTGAAAAAATGTAATTTATAAAGACATTCTTATATTTGAAATAAATGACCATCACTAAGACAACATCTTATTTTGTCTCCCTAGTGCCTGCCATATCCACAGTAGACACTCAAATTATTTGTTGAAAAGTAAAACAGTATGTTAATACATTTTAGAAAAAAATGTTATATATTCTTAAAAATTAGGGAATTTTTTTAAAGTTTCAGATTACTTCGTTTTCATCTTATGTATGTCTTATAATAAAAACTCAGCATTTGCTATTCAGTTATGATAAGACAAAACCTTTACAGTGTCAAGGAAAGACTGTCATAAATAATAATAGATTATCATAAATCATATATGTTGCATAAATCATAACTTAATGTGAAACCGGAAATCCCTTTTTAGTCACATATGTCCCCAGAGGTTAATTCTAATATTTAAAAAATACTTCAGTCTATACCACAGGTTATGGTTGCCTCTAATTCCCTTATGAATACCAGTAAATGATCAAGATTCTGTTAGGTTCTAAGTTCATGATTGAGACACTATTGTCTTGCTTAAATGATTCACAACTGTTGGAATTGTAATGATCAATATCTTTTGAAACTTACCTTATCTAAAACATTAATGGTTTGCTCCATTATTCCAATCTGAAGAGCAATCAAAGACTCATAGTTTGGTTCATTTAGGTACTTGAAGAGAAAAACATATGTAGGAATATTTTTTTCTATTTCTTTCAATAGGTAACTTTATTGTAGTTTTAAAAAAATGACTGGTTTTCTTAACAAATATCTATGTTAGTTAAAACTGATTTGATTTTTATGCCATATGTACTCGTATCAGCCATCAGTACATTGATCTGTATACTATTACAAATGCCTTGGCTGTTTTCTCTTTCATTCATTCATTCATTTATTCAACACATTGATTATTTATTAAATGTCCCACTTGAGGCCTACATTAACAGAATTCTGGTTAAAGATAATGAAGGTGACATAAAAGTAGATAACATGACCTAGTCTTCAAAAGAAAGAGAACACACAGACATGATTACTTGCCAGAAGAAATGTAAAGTGTTAGCAAATACAAAGGTGGTTTGTTATGGGATGGGATAACAAATCCAGAAAGGATTTATGGAGGAGTTGACAAACTAAACCTGGGAGAACAGGTAGACTTGAGATGTGCAAAACAAAACAAGGAAGAAAAGGAAGAAAGGAAGGAAGAAGGGAAGGAAGGGAGGGAGGGAGGAAGAAAGGGAAGAAGGAAGGGGAGGAAGGAGAGGAAAAGAGAGGGAAGTAGAAGGAAAATAGGAAGAGGAGGAGGAGAAGGGAAATGCTGATGAACAAGAGGAAAAGTGGCAAATGAATTCGAGTCAGAAAGTTAAGCTGAAAGACACTGCCCACCTAAGGACCTCATAATTCATTTGCTAATTAATAAGTATCAGTTAAAAATGTTTGAGCAAGGTAGTAATGTTATTAGAGTGAAATAGAAATTAAAATCGACAGCAGTATACAAGTCAAAAAACAGACTAAATAAAATTTAAAATTTAGAAAAAAAATTTTTAAAGGAAAGAGAGAATTTAGAAACTAATTTTAACTAGGTGTGGTGGTGCCTGTGATCCTAGCAGTCTGGGAGGCTGAGGGAAGAGGACTGAAAGTCTGAGCCCAGCCTGGGCAATTTAGGTACTTAGTGAGACCCTGTCTCAAATAAAAGGGGTGGGGGTTGCTGGGGATGTGGCTCATGTAGCTCTAATGGGGCCCTGGGTTCAGTCCCCATTACTCATTTTAAAAAATGAAACTGATTGTAAGACTGAATCATTGAAACCAGGACTGAACTGGGACAGAAGCCGTGGTGATGGAGACCTCCCTGAGTGAGCTGCAAATTCATAGATTGCCTTTTCACCTTAAAAGTCTGAGTCTGCCTATTGGCCCACAAGGCTCGCCTGAAGAGCCAGCAGTGGGTGTGTGGGAAAGGAACAGCTCCCCACCCACTGGTTACAGCAGAGCTGTCAGTGATCCGTGACGCTGTGACATCTTGGATGGCAAGGCAACGGTGCAGCTAAGGGCAATGTGACTCGTCCATAAAACATCTATAGAGGCAGAAATTAACCTATGGGAAAGACAAGCTTCCCATTAGTCTATGAGCTGTTCCTGCTAGAATGTCTCGTTCCCTTGTTGCTAGGACCACGCTCACATCAGTGCTCTCCACTCAGCTGTTCCCTGCACGGCCCCTCACCCCTTCAAGAAGCTGTGTGTTCAACAGTGCCAATAGCACCTTAGAAATATCCTGCACACCCTTTCAAAAGACAGTGCCTACTTGATTGATATCTATAAAAAGATGTCAGGTAATTATACCTGGAAAACTAATGGAGTAACTTTAAAGAAATTGAAAATTCAGGTGGAGAGTCTTACAAAAGACTGCTTTATGTTACAACTATAGCTTTGGTCCCATCTTTAATTGAGAAACATTTATCTGTATAAACATATTTTTGGATATCTATCTATCTATCTGTATTTGTATCTCTACAGAAAGGCTCTAAAAAACATTTGAGTAAAATATTTGGTTCCCTTTTCTATAATTATCCTTTAAAACCCATATAGATATATTTGGTTTGTCTGTCTTTATAGGACATATAGTGCACCATATGGTGTTCATGTCTTGTTCCCCACTTCTCACTTCTGTCACCAGCTAATACATGTTCATGCCACTTTTAGTGTAAAAGTTACAGATCTATCAGGTCTGTGGTTTAAGTTGCCATGCTACTAGAAAGTGTTGTTTCTCTTTCCAGCTGTTTATCTCTTCCTGGAAAAAGTAGTATCTCTCTGTAGCATTATGGAGTTTTAGTGGAACCAAATTTTGCCATTAAAAACTGGCGTTATATTGAACTACACATTGGGAAATAAATCAGAATAAAAATTTTTACTTTCAAAAAACCCCCACAATAAATAGTGCCAAAGTCCAGGAGAAGGTGTCTTAGCCTGATAGGAGCTCTGACTATCCTGGGCCCCCATTTATGCATTGAGATCTTGTCTTGTCTTTGGTTATCTTGCTGCCATACCCTTGGTCAGGTGATTGGAGGTCTGATCAGCCTCTGATACCATGGAAATAAAGAGAGAATAAACAGATAAACAGGGGAGACTTGGAAGGCACAGGAAAAAGAGAAACCAAAGACAACTGAAACTTTCAAGAACAGAAATAAGCAAATCAAGAAGAGCTTTTGGCAGGGGGAAAATATAGAACTGGTGCTTGAGGGAGGTGAGGGACACAGAGCTTAGGTTGGAAGGGAATTGGACTGGAACCCAGAGAGCTGGGATTAGACTTTTAGAACTGATCACTGATGTTAGAAGAACAGAGATTATCATCAAAGAAGGCATGGAAAGGAACACCAACCCAAGGCAGAATCTTAAAGAAAGGTTATATTTAAGACATAGATGCAAAAGAGTTAAAGAGGCAAAGTGGTCTGACATGTTGGAAGAAAAATAGGAAAAACTATGGGTAATAAAAGCCAAAGGAATGAGATTTCTAGTTGATCAAGCTAAGGAGAAGTGAAGGATGATAAAGAAGCACTGGAATGAACAATTAAGAACTAACACCTCAGTGAACTGTAAGATGGAACTGTGCTGCCTGAATGGGTCCTACAGATGTGGAGGTAGTAAGTGTAAACTACTAGGAAAAAAAGAATTCATAGCAACATGAGAAAATCCTTCTGGTTTGGTATATGCTTGAGATCATGGAAGCTTCATATTAAATACTGGCTAAATGACTGCATAAATTAATGAATGAAGTTAAAACTATGTAGGGCTAGGGACAACTTACTTTTTGACGATCTCTTGAAAAAAACAGCATCTGAATATCCCAAGCCTTCTGATTGAGATCTTCCATTTCCATCTCCATTTTCTTATGATCCCACTCAATCTGATATATTCCTTTGTGTACATCTTTACTTTCCATCATACTAGCAATTTTCTTTTGTCCTTGAGTCTTAAAAAAGTACAATTGGTATTCATATAATATGATTCTGCATACAGAATTACAGGCTACTTAAAGCAGAAGCTATCTCAGAAAATGCTTGGGGCACAGAGATAATCTTTTTAACATGCAGCAAATATTTAAAAATGAGTCCTAAGGCCAAAGATCTAGCTTTTGGAACTTCATACTACCTTCTACTCTTTAAAAAAAATTATTAGTAAATGTTTGCGATACAAATTAAATACCTTCATTATGGGAAATTGGTACATATACATATTGCATCTTCGTGCCTTTTTTTTCTTCTTCTCCTACCCCATCTGCCTCCATTCTCAGCACTATTTCTATTATTTTCATCTTCTGATGATAGCTTGGCCTCTCAATTCCTTGGGTTTCCTACTTTCAATGACCTTTTCTTCACTGTATTTCAGCCACCCAACTCCCATGGTTATACCCTTGCTCTTGACATCAATAGCTCCAAAACCTAAAGTTGAAGCATTTCTCTAGAACATTCTTACTCAGCTGGGGGAAATGTGTTGTCCCATCAGGACGCAATATGCTTTATGCTATGTTTGGAGACATTTTTGGTTGACACAACTGGAAAGCATCTAGTATGTTGAGGCCAGGGATGCTGCTAAACATCTGCAAAACACAGCCCCCCCCCCCCCCCCCCCCTCCCCAAACAACCTTCTGGCCCCCCATGAGTGACAAGGTTGAGACATGCTGTTTTAGAGCTCTATCTTCTTCTTTTTTTTTTTTTTTTGGTACCAGGGATCGAACTCTGGTCCTTGTGCTTGCGAGGCAGGCAGAGGAACCACTGAGCTAAATCCCCATCCCTGAGCTCTATCTTCTTTATGTCTTCCTTTCAGTCAACTTTTTTTTTGTAGGATGTAGCTTTAATCACTATCATCATTCCCCTTTCATAACATTCAACCATCCCTGATGGAGCCCTTCTCCCCACCCTCCACTGAGACTACACCTAGCAAGTACACAAATCTGTCCTCCTTGGACCGTTTCTCTCCTGGCTTCCTCCTACTTTACTCCTCCACTATCTCCTTACCTGTTCTCTTCTCTGCTAGACCTTTCAGAGTTGGATTTGGGGTGTAGGCTCAAACTCCCTTTTCTTTGCTCTGCCTCTAGGTGGTCTCAAACAATCTCACAGCTTGAATGACCTATATTTAACATCTGTATGCAGTAATTCATATGTAATTATCTGTGTGTGAGCTGTACAGGCAGCTCTTCTCAACCCTGAGCTCTGTCTCCTTTGCATTTCTGTTGGATTATATATGCATCTCAAGTTAACAAAGGTTAACACCCTTTACTATATGCCCTTTTGGCCGTGTCAGTTAATGACACCACCATCTACTCAGTTGCTCAATCCAAAATTTTAGGAGTTATTTTTTATCCCTTTCTTTATCTTTCACATTCAACCCACAGAGTGTTGCTTCCCCTATACCATGAAAAATCCAAGCAAACTCCAAAATCGTGAGAGCACTGAGATCACAGAGCAACGAGGTATCCTGAAACCTAAGAAAATAAGGAGCAACCAAGCAGAAGGAGAAGCCAAGCACTGGCTGATTTGTAGGAGAATGTGGAGGGAAGCCACACTTGGCACCATTAAAGGAGTTATAAAGAATTTAGACAATTTTTTTAATACATTGCTAAGGCCAAGCATGAGTGCCTATGAGAGTACAGATCTGGTGGGGGCAGAGACAAACAAGTGCTCTCTCTCCCTTGCAGGTCCCTCCCTACCGGGCGCATCCCATTGGCCAGAAAGACAGGCAGCTGTGCAGGAAGCTGCAGAGGCCACTGGGGGTACAGATCCGGAGAAGCAGGGAACAGCACTCTGGGACAGGCATGAACCAGCCAGACCCTTCTGCCGTAGAGAAGAAAGGTTTTTAGCCCCTGGGAGAAGAGCAGCAAATCCTGTCACCTCCAGGGCCAGAGTATGAACGATTCTGTCCAGAGGAAGAGGACAAACTGAATTGAAACAAAACTTTTCACTCCCATAGAAGAGGCAGTGGTGGGGAAACCCCAAACACTATCAACCATAAACTCTAGATTTATTAAAATTATCCTCCAAAGATGAAAGCCAAGCCAGGTGGGACACACCTGGAACCCCAGCTACTGGAGAGGTAGAGGTGGGAGGATCTCAAGTTTGGGGTCAGCCAGGGCAACAAAGTAAGACCTCATTTCAGCTGCTCGGGAGGCTTGGCTGAGGCAGGAGGATGACAAGTTTGAAGACAGTCTGGACTCCTCAGTGAGACTCTGTCTCAGAATAAAAGTTTAAAAAAGAGGACGGGGAGAAAGGGAGGTAGCTCAGTGGCAGAGGACTTGCCTAGCATGGGTTCAATCCCCCGGCACCACACACATACACACACACACACAGTAACCATGTAAGTGAATATACAAGCTAGAATTGTTCTATTTGGTTTATAACTACTTTTTTCTCCATGATGTAAAAGAATAATGCATAAATCAATAATTTGAAATCTGTTAATCAGCACATACTGTGAAAAGATGCACCAATGGCAGCATAAGGGAGAGGATAGCATTAAGGGAGCAGACTTTTGCACACTATTGAAGCTAAACTGGCATTAATTCAGATTTGTTCAAAATAATAAAGTTTAGATATCATCATAATTCCCAGAGAAATCACTAAGAAATTAAATGAAAATCACAGAGAAAAGAAAATGAGAAAGGAAGGTCTAAGCAGTGCACTGTAAAACATGGTATTAAAAACAGAAGAAGACAGACCTTGCATCAGTAATCTGACTTTATACTTACGGCACTAGAAAAGGAACAAATTACAACCACAGCCAGGATAAGGACAGATTAAGATCAGAAAAGAAATAAGTAAAATAGAAGATAGAAAAACAATACGGAGAATCAGTGAAATACAAAACTAATTCTTTGAAAAAAGTCTAAAGGGGCAAATGTTTAGCTAGGCTAAGTAAAAAAGACCCGAATGTCTAAAATCAGAACTGTGATCAGAGATATTACTATCAATGCTCTATAAATTTAAAGGATTACATAATGAAAATTATATATACAATGTATAAACTGTATCTCAGTAAAATGAACATTTAACTCCATGGTCCCAAACTTTCTGGACCTTCGATTTTAAAAAAGTTTTATTTTTATTAACACGTTTGTAGTACATAATGACTGCAATCAACTTGGGAAGTTGGAATTATACTTGTCGGAGGGGTTAGGATTATCTGGGGAGTTTTACAAATTACTCATGCCTGGGATAGGGGCTGGGAACATTGTAAAGTCCTTCAGGTGATTTTAATGTGCAGCTACAGTTAGGGTAGAAGCCACTAATTTAAATGAATTTAAATTACGTGCCACGGACATAAGAGAACAACATAACATTTGGCAGGCAGTATGCTATGTTGTCTTTTTCCTCTGTAAGAAAGTATAATTACCCGAATTACAGAATTCAGGTCTTCAATGATGGTCCTATTGATGAGAATTGCATCAGGATACTGTAGAGTTTGCTGGAAATTCTCCAGTTCTACTTGTCCTTGTTTAAGAAGAATTTGTATCGTCAAATTCAACTGGTATTTTACTTTGTCTTCCTGCAATCTAAATTGAAAAAGACATCAAAGCAAGTAGTTGTAATACATTTATATTTCAAATTTTACCTAGTACCTGAGAATATAAAATTCAAGTCAGCTTAAGGAAAACGTACTAGACATTAGTGTGACAAGAATTTCCTCAATGGTAAACATTCCGAGGTCCCTCCAGTATCTGTTTGTACTGACTTTGAATTACAATTGGATTGTTCACAGAAGAGCACGGACAGAAATACATTCATAAAATTTCACTTAGGATCGAGGAAATATTGTATAGTTTTGGTTGTAGTAAAAAATGAGGAAAACAGAGATGCTGCCAAGTGCAAAGACTATTAAAGTTCTAATTTATTGATTCATTGATTTCTGATACTGTATTAACAATATTTCATTTATATGCTACTTAGCAAATCTATTTCTGCATAATTCATATTTCTGTCTGAAGTCTAGACCAGAAAATGAGGAACAATGATGAAATGGGGAACACTGAAGTATTTATTCATGTAGCTATAAATGGGGCCTTTTCGAAGCAAGGATTTGAAGAGAGGATAGAAATCGCAAGAAAGAAGTACAGGCTGCCCTGAAGAGACGCATGTGGCTGGTAGGTGTCCGCGTGGAAACTGCCGGACGCCTGTTTGATTTTCCACACAGCTTACACAGCGTGAGCCACAAAGGACATACTGCCAGACACAGGCCCTTTGCGTTTTTATGCGCAAGTGCCAGTTCTAAGAAATATTACGATTTTCTAAAACTTGCTTCTTTATATTAAGAGCAACGGAACGCGTGGTAAGCTCCTCCCTGAAACAAGTGTTGTGTAACAAAACGCACTTTTCAAAATAGCCATTTTCCACCCAGTGCCCGGACTGTGGCAGCTGTGAACTGGACTGGGGGGCCGAGGGGTTCTCCCCGGTGAGGACCCAGCCTGCCTGGACGCCGCCCCCCAGTAACCCTGAATGAAAGTTTCCAATTACAGGATGAGTTCCTGGCACACTTTCTCCATCTCCTGCTGCACCTTTTCATCATCCTCCACTCTCTTGCGGAGAAAAGCTGTCATTTCCATTAAGCCAGCTGCTTTCTGCTTCACCTGCAAACACCCAACGGGAAACACCTCAGGACACAAGGAACTTCAACTTCGCAAAACACAAGTCTTTAACCTTGTTTTTGTTTCTTTGCCACAAATCGTTACCAAGCCCATTTTCTAAGATTTAATAAAAATTTAAATCCTTGCCATTATGTAATATCAAATGTGTAAAACTTGCATGGGACATTCCATGAAAAATGTGAAGAGTATCAAATGGCTTCTTGCTGAAAACCAAGTATGCAAGCAACTAATATTTTTATATCTTATTTTGAAATTTGTTCCCATCAACTTGGATACAATTATAAATTCATAGATACGTGAACAAAAGACGTGCCAGCCCGATGCATGTGGTACTGAGATTAGGGAACTTGAGGAAGGGAGGAAGGGAGTGGGCAGGGAGCAGCAAAGGAGAGATTCTCTTCCAAATAAACCTGCTTTCAAATTTTTACCCTTCGGTACACTATTTTTCTATTTTAGTGAAACTATAAATCTGATTCTGGTGAGCTAAATATGATTCCAATCTATGCAAAATGAGATCATCAGTAAAAGAAAGTTGTCTCATCTTGAAGAATAGAATGTGAGCCACAAATAAATTTTAGTATTGTAGTAGCCATGTTATGAAAGTGAAATTAAATGAAGTTAATTTTACTAATATATTTTATATCCAAAATGTTACATGTCAACCTATAATCATACAAGAAATATTAGTGAGGCATTTTTCCATTCTTTTTCTTATACTAAGTCTTCTAAACCTGTGTGCATTTTCTGTTTGTAGCACATCTTGCTTAGGAATGGTCACATTTATTTCAAATACACAATGACCACGTCTCTCTAGGCCACTGTTTTGCACTGTGTGAGTGTACAAGCACAGGCCTGCACTTTAATAGCACCAAAGTTAATGTTTTATTTTGTTATTTTATTATTGACATTACCAACTACTACCTTAGGACAAAACCCTAAATCGTTATGATGCACTGACCAATGTAACTATGTATTTGATATTAGTACACTAAAAATAAAATAAAATAAATGACATTATATACTTTGTATTCATTTTCCACTTTTGCTCTTCTAGTTAGGCAGAAATGACCCCAGACCAAGGGGTTCAAGCCTTCTGGCATGTTAGTGACACTGTCCAGCTCCTCCATGGCTTTCATTAACTGGGCAAAGGTGTCCTTATTCAACTTGCCAAGTCCTGGTTGCTCTCCAAAAGGGATAATACTGGCCATATCTGATTGTGCTTTCTGTTTCTGCATTCTGGGATTATCAAGAAAGTCCCATTAGCATTTCACATTCTTAAAAACATCAATGTTAAATAACAAGACCCTTAACACAGGCATGACACACTGTATGGCAATTCTCTTCAGCACTTGAGGGTTGGTAGGGGGACTATTCCAAGGAGAGAAACACCACTTCATCCTTTCGCACTCTCTAGACCCTCGCTGGACTCCGACATCCCTAACTGTTGTCAGCACTGGCCACTTTACCTGTGCTTGGAGCTGTGGCCCTTCTATGTGTTGTAATCAGGCGGTAAGTGGTCAGGGGAGGAGGGAGTGGCTATCCTCTGCGTCCATCTGGCACATCCTCTGCTGGTACCCTTTTTGCAGCAGGATATGCTTAGGTGTATGTGGGATTGGAGAGGTATTTCTTTTTATCTACATTGACAGATTCCCTTTGCTTCCCGAGCTGCAGCTGGGAAGGAACAAAGGACACCCAGTGTGGAGGCTTTTCTGTGCAAGGTAAGGTCAGCATTGCTACACTGGACAGGACAGTCAGGGAGGCACTATGCCCACAGCTGGCTCTGGGTCTGATAGGCGCAGTGTTAGAGTTCACAGCTAATTCTGTTTGACAGCAAAGCATGTGTCTTCCTCACTGCTGCCTCCTAGTATGTAGAAAGTCTCACCTCTTTCTTCATAAGGAAAAGCCATGATACTATACTCCTTTACAAACAAGGAAACTAAGACCTGAAGCAGAGGCGAAATTCCCTAGTTTGCATGGAACTTGTCAAAGGTAGAAAGAGTTTATATCTGGGACATAAATTAGCCTGATCCTTTGTGAAAAACTATGATTTCTAGATTACATTTGATTGACAATCTGAATTTATAATGTTAGAAATCAGCAAAATATAATTTTGATACTACTTTCAGTAAAAATATTTTAGAACTCTTGATAATTGTTATTTTTGAGCATTTATACTGGCATTTTTCAAACTGTCTTGAGCAAATCACATGTGCTGTAAGGAAAAGCAATTTATGTTCAAGGAAGTGTGGAAAACACCACTTACTCTGCTTCTTATGCTTGGTGAGCCAAAGGCCAAAAACAGGTTCCAAGAGGCTCTGCCATCAATAATGGTACTTAACTGTTCTTTAACCCAGTATTTCCCCAAACTTACTTTGTCTTGGAAACCTATTACACGTAAATCCCACTCATGCACAAGGGGCTCACATTTGTTAGAACACATTTTGGGAAAAATTTTATCAATCTGTATGCCATCTGTGACTCAGGAGGAACTACTATCACAGAGGAAATAGAAACAATAATAGCACTATGCTAGATGCTCAAGCATTTTTAAGTCATGAAACAGTTACATTTCATAACCTATCGTATGACACAGTTTTTAAAATACTGAATAACAATGAAGATAAACATCATCTTCACCTAAAAGATGTCACACGTCAATTTCTTTCTAATTGGGAGGAAAGTGAGATCTTATTCTTCATCTACAGACTCTTTTCTTAGAAATATAATAGCAAAGTGAAAACAAACCTTGGTCGGCGTTTAAAAAGTTTATAGAGTACATCCACCTGCTGACTTGGAATTTCAGAAAATTCCTGTTTGAAGCTTCGATCCAGAACCTAAGGACAAACACATCATTGCCAGATGACGACTCTGTTCAGAAACAATACTCTTAAAGACAGGGGCTGTATCACTTTGATTTAAAAAAAACCCACGAAAACTTGGTTCATGAAGTTGTTAGGGTGACTGTTCATGGTGCAAAGACTTCTCAAAGATTTATTTTTGAATAGCAGGTAGCTTAGTGTACTAAAAATATTATTCCATATAAGAGGTCTTGAAAATCATCCAGCAGTTTCTCCAAATAGTATTTATTACTCACAAAACATGTAAGTTAGTCTATTCTTTCCATTCCAATCCATTCCATTGAATTCCATTGTTTCTACCCCTCCATTTCACTGTCCTCTTCTGTCTTCTTTATGGGATTCTATCCTGTTCTTTTCCTTTATAAACCTGCTGGCCATACTTATTTTTTTTATTTATATATTTATTGGTACATTTTAGGTATGCAGTACATTTACATTTATCATTGGGTGCTTGTACCTGTACATGATGCATCTTGGTTCTTATTTTTCCCCAATAACCGGGCCCCCTTCACCCCCTCCACCCTTCCCTATTTACACAGACTTTGTTTCCATTTTTTTCTTTTCTCATAATGTTTTCTTTCCCTTCTTTCCTTTCCCCTTCCCCTCCCACCACCCCTACACCTTTGGACCTTTTCCTATTTCAAATTATCCATTATTCATTTTAATCATTTTCATCCTTATTTACACTTTCAGCTTCTCACACTAGAGAAACTATTCAGTATTTACACATGTGTGTCTTATTTATTTCACTGGTCATACTTATTAAATTGATTTCATGATCACAGATTTTTCAGAAACATACAATAGCGCAGAATGACACTGACTCATAACTGAGACTCATAGTAGGAAAGAAATCTATGAGAAAATTAAGTTGTCTCCCACTCAACCTTCCCCCAGTCCCAAGAGCAACAACTCAGTTGTCCAGTCAGTGGGACGATGACTCACTTTGTCTTCTGCCAGTAAGTTGTCATAGTTCTCCTTGTACATATCCAGGTCTTCTCTAGATTTCCGGATTGCTTCTGAAGTCTGGCTCTATAATAACAGCAGGAATAAGTAACTGGAACTGGAGACTTTTTAGGACAAACAAAAACATAGGAGATTCTAAGAAGAAGGAGTTTCCTTTTTCCTACAAGATAAATGTGCCCATGAAATATCCACTCTAGGTAAACATTTACAGAGGGAAGCAAGTTGGAGGCTCAGGAAGGACAAGCACAGATCACCTGTTTGTTAGGGCAGCCAGCTGTGCGTGTCTCTCTCAGCAGACCCTGCACTCTTGCCAGGAAGTGTGGATGAGGCAAGTGCACGGGCTTGGCAGTTGCACGGACCCACCCCTGTTCTGAGGAGCTGGAGGTATACGTGGACATATGGTGGCTGCACCATACATGAAAACAACTGACTCACAGCCTCTGCGGTGACCAGCTGGGAAGCTGAACCACAGCTTTGGCCACAACCAAAACAACGAGGAGGTTGCCAACCTACTTTGGCAACCAGTAGGTTGCCTGCTTCTAATTGGTTTGCCCATGCCAACTGATTCCATTTGGGCTGCACCTCCTTCTTCTCACTGTAAAGCTTGCCACCCCCTGCCTGCTTCCGGAGTCTGTCAGCACAGTGCAAGTGACAGCAGCTGCTTCCCACACTCTGCCAAGCTCTGAATAAAAACACCCTGCATAGTCTCTTTTGGGTGGTCTTCATCTTTTCCACTGCTCTGGTTTCTGCTCTATGACTTCAGCATGTTATTCGGTCTCTCTGAGATGGATCCTCATCTGTGAAAGAAGTCTAGTACCCAGCTGGGTTGTTATCAGGAGGGGTAGACCTAGAAGTTCTTTGTTTGTGCTGTTCAATAGACTCTTAGAAAAAAGTTAAGTACTTATGTCATTTATGATACTTTAAGTCATGCATTCATAAATGTCCTGTATTGATAAATACAAGTAATAAAAGCTGACATATGTTAAAACTTATTATGTAATAAGTTTTTGTATTCATTCTTTTAATGAACCATACCTATTAATGTTTATATTTAGATATTTTTTAGAATATAACAGATTTTGTTCTGTAAGCTAACCCATTGCTTCTGTGTTTGTTTAGTAAAATTAGGAGTTCCAGAGGGCACAATATCCCTAAAGAGTGGCACGGAAGCACCTTCAGAGATTGTGTGCCGTGTTCAGCACCCCAGTCATAGCCAGTCACTGGTTAAAAGCTGATGCTTTCTGCCAGGGATCTAGGTGGCTTCATTTATAAACCACGAGTCAGAGGAGAGCTACAGTTTTATAGTTGATTTGATTTTTTGTGGTACTAGGGACTGACCCCAGGGAGGGCTGAGATACACTTCTAGACCTTTTTAAAAAATTTGATTTTGAAACAGAGTTTTGCTTGTGGTCCTTCCGTCTCAGCCTCCCTAGCAGCTAAGATTACAGGCATGCACCTCACGCCTGGCTACACAGTTCTGTGGAATAATGCCTGCAGATGCAGAGTCACATAACTTTGTTACTAGATGGGGATGGGGATTTCCTGGCCCTGGAGCAAAGTCACAGAGAGGGAGCCAAGGGAGGCCCATGGTTTCCTAGGAATGGCAGAAGGAAGGATCCAGCTGCAGGAGCTCTTGCTAAACGTGAACACAGCTGTAGGAAAACCCTGGGAATCAGACGACAGGCACTACACTTACTTTCTCCTCCTGCTTCTTCGAAAGATAGTTGTTCAGAAACATTTCTCTGGAGTTTAATTCTTCGTCCAATAGTAAAGAGAAAATAAGGTTATTTATTTTCAATTCTTCCTGTAGAAATATGAAAGGAGGGGAATGATCAATACTCCTACTGGAGAAGATTCTTTCTATCTATGGTCATAGGGTTGGTTCTAACCAAATAAGTTTATGATGTACAAGTAAGATGTGAGGGCTGTGTCTAGATGTGCCCCCAAAGCCTCATGCACTCATATGAGGGGCTTTTGGGGGTGGCTGGATCAAGGGTGTGTGATACTGTGGTGGCTGGATTAGGGTTGTGGGGTAAATAAATGAGTCTACTGATGGGTTTAGCACAGTTCTGGGTGTGGATAATGGAAGCCCCACCCTGGGTGTGGGTGGCACCACCCAAAAGGCTTCTAGCCTGGGTGGGATAAAAGGGAAAGTGGGGCTGGCTGCTGCTTGCTGGCTCCTGCCTGCACTGCTATGGACTGTTTCTCCTCTGTGATGCCCCTGTGTCATGCCACCATGCCTTGGAGCCAGCCAACTATGGACCAAAACCTCTACAAACTGTGAGTCAAAATAAACCCTTCCTCCTTTAGCTTGTGGGTGTTGAGTATTTTGTTTGAACAATGAGAAAAGTAACTATGATATAAGCGGAATCTTTTTTTTGGAGGGGGGTTTGGGGGTTGAGTCCAGGCCCTTACCCTTGAGCTATGGTACCCCCAACCCAAGAAAAATTTTTAATGAAAAAGTGAATAGACACAGTTGCTGTAATGATTTGAATATTTTACCTATTATTTCATTGTAAGTTAAAATATGTATAAAGAAAAGTAAATAACGTGAATGTAGTTTCATGAATTATAAAGGCCAACAGCCTTGTTGCTACCACCCAGTTCAAGAATTAGAACTCTTCCTCGAGAGAAGTCTTTGCAGTTGTCCCCATTAAACTCTCCACCCCAACACTGACCACAGTATTGTTTCACAATGGCAACTTCCATGTTTCTCTACAGCCAAGTGAGTGTCCCCACCAGGTACCACAGTGTAACTTGTCCATTAAAATCAGTGTGTTCATATCGTCTAAGTCTCCTAATCTTCATGTGCCCTTCTGTCCCTGGCTTTCCTTTGCAGTTGATCTGTGGAAGTCAGCAGTCCCTGTAGTTTTGCCTACTCTGGGTTATACCAGCTCATACTCAGGGTGTGGTTTATCAGGCTCCTTCATCCTTTGTATTTCCTAAAAATTAGCAGCTGGATCCAGAGGCCTGCTTAGACCTAGGTTTGATCCTTTAGTAGGTCTGTAGGTGACATGTTCTTTGATCAGGGCTCAAAGAATATCGGGTCATCTTTCTGTGACATTTGCAGCTGTGATGTCTGTACCTCCATTGAGAATTGCAAAATGGGAATAGTCTGTTCCTACTTTTCTTTTTAATTTATTAATTAAAATATTTTTCTTAAAAGGTGCTCTAATTATCTACTGTTTGGTTACCTGCTGGTTCAAATCATATAGAAAAGGCAGAATAAATACTGGATGCTTTTCTTTCATCAGTTTCAGATAATGAACTGTTGTCATCCTCTGAAGGTGACCCGTTGGCATTTTCCTTTTAAAAATATCACAAGTTCATGAATTTGAACAAATTTAGTGGGTTTGAACCAATCGCGATAACTGTATTATCATCTTTAAATCTTCAAAGGTTTCACTCAGAGATGTATGGCTCCTGAGTCCTTTGGACGTAACCTAGGAATCTGATACCTTCCTCATTACCTTGTACAAGATGTTCTGAGCTTACCGTTTTTCTTAAATAAGAGCTTTATTGGGCTGTATTTCACATACCATACAGTTCACCATTTACAGTGTGCAATTCAGTGGATTTTGGTATATGTGGAGTTGTGTATTCAATCACAAAACTTTGTCACTGCATAAAGAAACCCTTTAGCAGTGATTTTCCATTTTCCTGGACCTTCCCACAGCCTTTTCTCTCCCCTCAAGGCAAAACCCAAGAGGTCGGGGAGGAGGAGGTTTGGCTCGCTGAGGGGAGGGGCACGTGGGCACCTGCACACAGGTGAGGGTGCTGGTCACTGTCTGGGAACCGTGGAGGCCCTGGAGTCACCCGGAAGGAATTGCTCACACAGGGAACCTTTCCTTACCTGGTTGACAGCCATCTCTGCCTTCACTCTCCTCTCAAAGAGTCTTTTCAAATGTTTGTCAAAGTTTTGTGTGCTTTCTTGAACAAAGTTTTGAAGTTTCTTCAATTCTGCTTCTAAGGACTGAAAGGAGGTAAATATTTAGAAATATTAAAAGTGAGAGCAAAGCTGCTGTTTGCATTTTGCCACAAGGGAGGCACAGTGGGGAGGCAGACCTTGGCACTGCTGTGGTCTGGAGGTGTTCTATTTGGGTGTAAGATACTGTGTGTCTGGGGTTTTTGCTTTTAAAAATTACATTGAGGGCCAGGTGTGGTGGCATAAGGCTGTAATCACAGCACTTGGGAGGCTGAGGCAGGAGGACTGCCGTGAGTTTGAGGCCAGCCTGGGCTACACAGTGAGTTCAAGGCCAGCCTGAAGTATGTAGTGAGACCCTGTCCCCCCCAAAAAATTATGTTGCAAAAAAGGGGTTAAAAACACTAATCATGGCTAATGAAACAGCCAGTAGTATACCCAGTAAAACAAGTCATAGCAAATCTTCCCAGGAAATTCTGACTTTATGGGATAGAAATTTCCAAACATGCAAGTTGGCCTTTAAAAAATCTTGCATTTTTTTCAAGCTCTGTATACTTTTTCATGGAACTTTATATTCTATGTTTTTATATTTCATTTTTTGTGGTATTGGGGATTGAACCTAGGGCCTTCTCACTGACCGACATTCCTTACCTTTTATTTACTTTCCATTTTGAGACCGGGTCTCCCTAAGTCACTAAGTTGACCAGGCAGGGCTTGAAGTTGGGATCCTCTGCCTCGGCCTCCCAGAGTGTGGGAAATACAAGTATGCAGCACCATGGTGGTCCCGCTTTAAATTTTTATGTTAGTAAAGAAGTAATCCGGGTTTAAGGAAGAAGGTGGAGGTAAAAAATGAGACAAGACTGGCCGTGTGTAAACAACTGTGAAACTGGATGGGGTGACGATACTATTCTCCACACTTTTTACTATCGGTGTTTGGTTCTGAGACAGGGTCTCCCTGTGTGGTCTGGGCTGGCCTTGACCTCGCTGTGATCCAGGCTGGCCTCAAACTCATTATCCTCCTGCCTCAGCCTCTCAAGTGATGGGTTTGCAGGCGTGAACCACCACGCCAGGCTCTCTTCTCTCTTTTATATATGATTGGGACTTTTCAGAATAAGAATTTTTGTTTAATTGAGAAGACAGACATTGGAAACGGTGAATGTGGACTTTTTTGAGCTTTGCTGTGAAGGGGAAGAGACACTGACCGAGAGGAAAGTGGGGTGAAGGGAATTGTTTTTATTTTTGTTTATTTTCCTTTCTATTTTGGAATAAGCTCACTCTAACCGAAAAGCTGCATGAATACTAGAAAGAACTGTAATATCCCCTTCAAGGGGGAAGTTTTAAATGTACGGCATGTGTCTACACTGAAGGGGAAAAATCCAGCGGAGAAAGCAGAAAGGAGGCTGCAGAGAGGGGAGCCCTGCGGTGGCGCTGAGGCCAGGGCGCGGCTGCATGGGCTGCTCAGTGCAGGGGTGGCCAACCTGCTGGTGGAGAGGAAAGAAAATTCCTTCTAGCTGCTCCTTTTCTTCCAGTGAAATAGGAAATAGGGCCAGCGTGAGCTGAGGCAGCTGCACCTCAGACAAAGGTCTGCTATCTAGAATCTATAAAGAACTGAAAAAATCAGACCCCCCAAATTCAAAGACCCAGTTCAAAAACGGGCATCCGAAATGAACAGACATTTCTCAGACAAAGAAGTAAAAGCAGCAAATAAATATACGAAAAAATGTTCAACATCACTGATCATTCGAGAGATGCAGATGAAAACAACACTGAGATTCCAACTCAGCCCAGAAAGAATGGCTGCTATCCAGAAATCAACCAATAACAAATGCTGGCGGGGGTGTGGGGAGAAAGGAACCCTTCTCTGTTGTTGGTGGGAGTGCAGACTGGTGCAACCACTGTGGAAATCAGGATGGAGATACCTCAAAGAACTAGGGCTGGAGGTCCCATTTGACCCAGCTATTCCCCTGCTGGGGATCTTCCCAAAAGAACTGAAAGAATCATACCACAGCGACATATGTGCACCCATGTTTATACCAGCACAGTTTGTAATAGCTAAAGCTTGGAAACAGCCCAAATGCCCATCAACTGGAAACTGGATAAAGAAGATGTGGGTTTTTTCTAAAATGGAGTACTACTCAGCTATAAAGAATGAGAAACTAGAGTCATTTATAGCTAAATGGATGCGTATTGAGGCCATATTCTTTTAAGTGAAATAAATAGCACACACCTGTGTAAATACCGAATAGCTTCTCTGGTGTGAGAAACTGAAAGTGTAAATAAGGATTAAAATGATTAAAACGAATAATTGATAATTTGAAATAGGAAGAAAAGGTCCAAAGGGGTAGGGGAAGTGGGAGCGGGAGGGGAAGGGGAAAGAAAAGAAGGGAAAGGAAAAATTATGAGAAAAGGAAAAAATGGAAACGAAGTCTTTGTAAATAGGGAAGGGTGGAGGGGGTGAAGGGCGCACAGGTAATGGGGAAAAATAAGAACCAAGATGCATCATGTACAGGTACAAGCACCCAGTGATAAATGTAAACGAACTGTATACCTAAGATGTACCAATAAGAGAAATTAAAAAAAAAAGAAGAGGAGGAGCAGGGCGAGGCGAGCTTCCACATCCCGCCCGTGTGCCCCTCCCACAGAGCGGCCCCTATGGGAGCCCGTGCGACCTGCAGAATCTCAGGCTCCTTCCTTCTCCCGGTTCAGTTCAGAAACAGGAAGACACAGGGGAATCTGGCGCGGCTTTGTAACAGGACCCCCGGGGACGCGGTTTGCTCCCTTGTGAGAGCACCGGTTGAGATCAAAGGCATTAAGTGAGGGTGAAACCAGTACAGCCCTGGTTTTTCTTTCCCCACTGCATGAGTGGAGGTTTAGAACCCTGGATATCATCACGCCGCGGTCCCAGGGCAGCATGAAGGAAATAGGCTATTTCTTCCAACACAGAAGCGTGGAGTGAATGCCCTTGAATGGTCCCTCCTTTTCCTTCCTTGGGCAACTATGCTAACTCCTCAAGAATCTTTACTTCTTCCAGGAGCGCTTATTTTGGCTTTTTGGTGAGTACTATCTGAAGTGAAATGTGAGGGCAAACTGTGGTGAATAAAAACATGGATGGGTTAAGAATGGGCTCAAAGAAGTTGTTCTTGAGTTACAGCCGCCACACAGCTGGCAGGCCTTCTGTCTCAGAGGGTGGTGAGGTTTCACTTCCTCTGCGGAGGATGACTATTGTTTGCTTGGCCACACACTGCCACCTTTCACACCTCCATTGGAAAGCTAAGCAATTTTCTGCCAGAATGTTTCATTGTGATGCAAGAAGATTAAAAAATAGCAGAACTGCATTGCAAAAACCTGGAGAACTGTAAAGTCTGTGCTGCCTGATGGCCTCTTTCTTTCCTCAGCTCCTTTCTTGAGGTGCAGCGCTGGTCAAGCAACGGTGCTCTGGGCCTCGGATAGCTGAGTCCCCTGAGGGACTTGCACATGCTGTGACCGCGGGCAGCTAAGGTAGGCAGACTCGAAGCTGCAGTCAGATAGGGATCGGCCCTCGAGGGGGTCAGTGCAGGGGATGAAGGTATCAAAACTGCACCTGGAGGCGCATCTGAAGAGGGCCAGGGCTTGGGATGGAGGCCCAGAGCCAGGCCTGAGCCTACCTAGGAACAAAGAGCAGCTTGAGGTTGTACTGTGATTAGCGCCGCCTGGTCCAGTGAGTTGATAGACACGGAAGGCACAGGTAGGCAGCCAGGGTACCTGGACCCCGCACCCTTCCCTTTCCAGGAATGCCACTGTTCTTTCTATGTCAGCAGGCTCAGAAGAGCTAAGGTTTATGGTCCTCGCCACATGACCCTTGTTACATGCCTCACTTCACTATTAGATCGATAGGAGCCAAGTGAGTGTACTCTAATCCTATTGGTTGATTACAGTCTGACCCAGGTTGTACCCACGTTGTGATTTTGCTGCATGAAATATCCCTGGAGAAAGAGCTTCTATGGCAACCCACTGCTGGCACCTCGTGTCTCTCAGGAGCTTGCTCCCAATAAACCCTTCCTACATGCAACCTTTCCCTCCAAATTCATTCTTCGCTACTCGGGGGACACGACCTCCACACATCTGACATCTACCAGGCTGGGCATTATTCTCCCCATCACAGGACCACTCAGCAGGTGTTCATGAAACATGTGGAGGAGGAAAGGCCATGTGGGGAATGTTGAGATCAGTAACAGAGACCGAGAAAACTCTTGCTATATCTTCATTCATTTTAAATCATTGTAATGTTTTAAGTTCATCTTCCTTACTTCTCTAAATTCTTTTGAGAATTTAAGTTTTAACACTATCTTAAGCTATTACAGACATTGAGAAGATTTACAAAAAACATTTAAAAATATATTGAAACAAAACCTTGGCTGTGATAAGCTAGTGGATTAGTTTTTGCACTTCTGACCTTTCTATACTTGTCTCTCTCATCATTTAGCTCCTTGACTTTTTTCTCATAATCTCTGAATTGTTTCCTTTCCTCTTCTGTCCACAGAGCATTGGGTTTTGCCACGAAAGCTGGTTGCGGAATTACCTGAAGGGAGAAGGAAAGAGTGACGTCGGGGTCAACACAGGTGCGCAGTATGATAAAAGCTCAGAGTGTGACTCGCACTAAAAAGCCAAAAGCCCTTAATGAGGCCACATCCCTTCATATTGGCAAGGACAATAACCTGACACTTTTTACAGCTGCTGATCTCGGTGAGGGAAGGTAGTGTGGACGCACCGAGATGCTCAAGTGACAGACATAGTGTGTGTTGGCATCTTCCTATCTAGCACTACACCAACTCTCCGGGGCCACCTGCATCAGGTGTCAGAGACCGTGTCTGCTGGTGCACCCACAATTACAGACAAAGCAACGTCCCTGCCTTTGGGAAAGACCCAAATCACTGTGGCTGCTTGTGTTGGCGTGTTTGCTTTAGCGAGAATGGAAGGCACATTTTTTATTTGCCTACTGGGGTATGTTTATAAGGTGCCAAAGTTTCTCTAATATTTGCTGCAATAGAATTTCTAAAACTAAGGTTCCTAGAGGACAAAAGTGGTAAACTTGTCAGTCTCTGCACCCCATCACACATCTCCCAAGGATGGCCAGAGAGCTCACCATTCTCAAAATGTCCTCCTTCTTGACTTCCAGGACGCCTCCCATCATGTCCATCAGGCCCTTGCGTCTTTCGCTGGAGCCCTGGGAAGAGCCAGGACCAGAGAGGGCAGCTGAGACAGAGACCCACACCAGGGCAGCCTCTGCCTGATGTTAGAGTGGCCGCTTTCAGGGATGGGGAAGGCGGCAGCAGTGTGGAAGACAGAACAGAAGGAACTCTGGACCATGACCAGTGCCTGATGTGGGTTTTATGTGGAACACAAGCACCCCTAAAGGGAAGGGGGTGGGTGGGGACAGTTTGAGAAGAACTGCGTACCCGTGCCCGAACCCATCGGCGTAACTCACGGACCACAATCATTTCTGCTTTGGCTCTTTGCCATGTAGTAAAGTGTCTCGGGGCTGTAATCTGCAAGAGAAAATGTAGGTTCCTGCTCTTATTCTTACCAAATTCAGGCCGAACTTTCTCCCCACGCATCGGGAGCCAGCTAAACTGTATTAAAGGGAGGAGGGGACAGTGCAGATTTTGCAGCCAATTTTCTACTTTGGAATGAAGATCAGGTCTAAAGTGAGGCAGCTGGACAAATAGATCTTTATTTCTTTGTTGTCTTGCAAGGCTTTTCTCCACTACTAAAGAGCTTATCTCAGGGGATTTGATTTGGAGTAGATGGAAGAGAGGAGAGGCCAAAGAGGTGTTCCCTAAGCCAAGTCCTGAAGGATGGGAGTCTTAGGAGGACAAGAACTGAGAGCAGGAAAATGTGAACAGGACGGAGGGAGGACGGCTGTGCACAAGGGCGGGGCAGAGCAGGGCCTGCCACAAGGTCCCTTTCCTGAATGTAGGATGGATTAGACCGAGGGCAGCGGGCTTGAGGGCTTAGCTACACACGGGCCAAGTGACCACAGCCTGTGGGCCCCTGAGCAGGCCAGACCTCGGCTCTGTCCTGAGCGAGGAATCTGTGGTCAAGGCCTTACTTAAACTCCCAGTGCCTCACCTTCCTCATTGGTGAGTGGAGGGAGTGTCCCTACCTACCCTACAAGGTTGTACAATTATAAGTTTATCCCAATCTATCTACAGCACTTAGGTGCTGGGAATCTCATAGGGGCTATGCAAATATTTGCTATTACTTTTCGATATCACTATTAGCTTTTGCCCCAAAATAATTAAGTTGGTTTCATGTGGACAAGAGTTTTTGTTTGGGCCTTCTCTGGGGCTTCTTTTTACTTTTCATTAATGAAATATGGCCACCTTTTGTTTCTTTAAGCATGATTATTATCATGATTGCAGCTGCCTCTGTGATAATAATGTGAAGCAGTAAGGGGCTGCTCAGCCAGCCTCCTTTCCTTGGGATCTGTCCTGTCCAGTGACCTATGCAGCGGTGGCGAACCTCCGGCATGCGTGCCGCAGCCAACTGTTTGTTTCTGAGCACTGAAAGGTCCACGGTCCCTGCCCCACAGCCTTGTTCCCACAGCAGGACCCACCCTCGTGTGCAGGCACTGGGCCTCCTGGACCAAGGAGCCTTGTCCCAGGCAAACTCAGAAGTGGGACTAAGCAATTCTAATTCAAGCCAGCTGCTCTTGAGTGGAGGAGACGGAAGTTGAAATTACTAGAAAAAACCAAGATCACAGTGAAGTGAGTTCAGAGATGAAGGAAGAGGGCTTTCACTCCTCCCAGAACTCCAGTATTGGGACCCTGCTTCTTCCCAGGCTTAATGCCCAAATATTCCCTGACTCTGTGGGGTTTGGAAAACAATCCTCACTGTTGCTGGGGTGACATTACCTGTTTCTGTAACCTGTACCTGAGAGTGCTACCAATATGGCCATCTCCACAGTGTAAACAGGAAGGGGTGGGGAACATCCCCGGAAGAGAGGAGCTAACAAGGCTGGTGGTACCTCAGAATCTTCCACGACAAGGGTCCTTTCTGGCTTCTCGCAGTCTTCAAATTCTGGTTGCCAGACTTTTTCTCCCAAGTCCAGGTCTAAAATAATTTCTTTAATTCTAACATTTCTCTCCGTCACTCGTGCAACTTCAAACTCTTTTTGTTTAAATGCAGCATCAAACTCATTGTTGAAAGCAGTTTTCACCTTGTAAATGATATCCTGAAATGCCAATAGGTTACCGGAAACACACATCTCTACTGGCAGCATGGTCCCTGTTACACTTTCCTTTCAAGATCAGTCCAGGAGTTATCTTTTAAGAAGAAAAACTAACCTTCCTGGAGTAATGTTTATACTGAGTCCTTTCTTGTTTCAATAATCCACAGTGGCCTCCGACCACGGGTAGGCTGAAGGCCACAGTGTAACTGTTACACCGTAACCCATTTCTGAAACGAGCTGTGATTCAGTGAGCAGGCGTGATGATCAACATGGAAGTGGGTGATGGGAGTTTGCAGGCTCACTGGGCAGTGTGCTCTATTTTTACATATGCTCTAAAACAATCCATTATACATATTTATAAAGCAATAAGCAGGGTTGAAGTTGGGAAGCAATTTTCCTTTGGAACCTTGTTGGGGGAGCTGTGGGGAGGAAGAAAGGGCTTGGAGAAGGTGTTTGGAGAAGCACCACCATACACACATTCTTCCTCTTAGGTCCGGGTCATTTTCAAGCAGAAGGGGACACAGCCAACACCTACAAGGGTAGTTGATTCGAGTGGATTCCCCCACTCTTGCTAATGGTTCGACTCGAAGTTGCTTCCACACTGCCATCAGAGTTCAGTCTATGTACATTAGGCTGAAAAATGATCTGAATACCTAGCATCAGAATCTCTCTTGAGCTGAAGTTACTTCCTTGTAAGAAAACACCCTAATAAAGTAACCAGAAATTGAGCCCCTGGACCATGGCTCAGCAGAAGATAAGCAACAAAAAATAACTAAACAGTTAACCAAAATTTCAAGGGTTGAAGGAGGAAAAGAAGGGATAAGGTCAGGAAGCCAGAGCTGAGTAACACAGCAGGAAGCTAGAACTGAAATTGCAGACATGGCTGAAGGACGTTGAAGAAGAGAAATAGCCTTACATTTCAAACTATGTACAATCACTGCATTTCAAGAGCCTTCAGTAGGGTCGTCTATATACACAGATGTGCTCAGAGCCTGACTTGTCTGGTGGACAGTAAGGAATAGGGGCTCAGAGCCAGAGGGACCTCACACCTCAGCTCAGACCCCGAAAATTTACAGAAACTTTGAGAGGGGGCCGGGGATTTAGCTCAGTGGTTTCACCACGTGCTGCACAAGTGCAAAGACCCGAGTTTGATCCCCAGTACAAAAAAAAATACAAAAACGCAAAAAAAACTTTGAGTGGAAATTTCTCTGAGTTAAGCAGATAGATAAGCAATTACATCTTGACCTCACAGGAGGTCCAGCGATGCCTGGCTTACTGAGCAGATATGAGTGAAGAGTTTCTTTGAGCTGACCAAAGATCTAAGCAGAAGAACGGTTTATGGTGTTAGCCAGTATAGAATGTTCTTTAGAAAACTTGCTATCACAGAACTCAATTCCAGCGAATTTAAACAACTCTTGTACTTAAGTTCTGACTATGCGACGCAGAGCTAACTATCTGCATATTTCTCTATGCACTTTGCAGACATCATTCGATAGGCTTGAGGTTTCAATGGAAGCTCTTGAAAGACATTTTAGGGAGAGTTTCAGAGACTGCTGAGGATAAGGCGGAAATTCACCTACTTTCAGTAAGACAATTTGGTTGATTTTCTCCTCTCTGGAATGAAGTTCCAGTTGGCTTGACAACAAAGAAGTATCTACCCCAAAGTCAGTACTCAGACTACCAAGCAAGTAATTGGGCAAGTTGGTGTCTATTACTGTCTTTTCTTCCTCTTCCTCCTCCTCCTCCTCCTCCTCTTCGTGGTGTTTTTTTATCATAGTGACTGCAGACTGATCCTCTACAATTTCCTTCCGTAGCTAAACACAGAAACAGATGACATTGAAGTTATGCAATAGTAATTTTGGACAATTTTGTGACAATTGAATTATTTCAACAATTATTTTAAGAGGTGCAATTGTCTTGCCAACAACACAATTCAAAGTCATGCATAGATCCTGAAAGTGTCACTGAAGAGATTAAACCTTCAGAGACTGATAAAATATGGGTAAATCAAAGTAATGAAAAGGGCCCTTGCTAGCACATAATATTTATATTTTTGTGTCAGGATGATACGTGCCTGTAAATATTTTGAGTCTTTCCTGATACTTAAGCACATATCTTCTCTTCATATTTTACAAAAGAACTTGTTTAGTGAGACTGGAAGGTATAGTTGAAGATTTAAGTATGCCTTTATTTTATATTCTAAAAAAGAGTGGGTGCAAAGTCCTGGCCAAAAAATACTACTCTACAGGATGAGTGTTATTTCGCCTGTTTGACAGAGATTGCTGCTTTAAAAAAGAAAGATCCGGGGTTGCTTTAGAGAAACCGTAATTTTATCAAACGACCATAGATTTGACTTCATCTTTGGTTAATTATCTTAAAACACAATCACTAGCACTAAGGGAAGATAAAAAGGGCATATGGACAAAAAAAATCTCTGGGTAGAATATGAACAAACCCCAAAATCTTATTTTTAAAAGCATATCCTCCTATCGGAGAGCTCGCCACTGATAGAGGACACCGCGTCCTTGGTTCTTTCTACAGACACAGGCTCCTCTGTTCATTACAATATAGTCTACAGATTAGTAAGAAATAAAAACAAATACATACAATAGGTAAATGTATCTTAAATCTATGTTAGACACCTTAAAATAAATCACCTCACTTACATAAACATACACACACATGCACACATACACAGTGCTTCTGGAGACTGGACCCATGGCTTTCACACCAAGCTACATCCCCAGCCCCTTTTCCATTTTGAGACAGGATCTTACTGTGTTGATAAGTTGCCCAGGCTGGGCTTAAACTTGCAATTCTCCTGACTCAGGCTCCCAGAATGCTGGAGTTACAGTCTCATGCCATCAGACCCTGGTAACCACCCCCGCCCCATACATTTAAAATTGTACTTTAAGACACTCTGCTTCAATCTTCTTTTGCTGCAAAACTCTCTTCAATTCCTTCAGTTCTTCAGCTGTACGTGCTCTCATAGGGAAGTTCTCAACCACACAGGGGATGTGGAAGCACTTGAGGAAAACAGCAAGATGAAACAAATCCAATTTTAGTGCAACTGTGGGTATGTCAGGTGGCACGGGGAATGTTCTCTCTGAATAAAACCAACCCATATATTATTATGCCATGAATGAAACTGACAATGGGAACCCTTAAAATAAAGTGATGTATGCCATTATCGTTGATATAAACTTTGTCTGAAATGCGGTGCTTTGGTGATGGACTTGGAGCCGTGTCATCCTTCCTTCCCCCGCACACTGGCATCGTCCAGAGACAAGTTTTAGATGGCTACTCCTGGGGATGAGCGATCTACTGTCTAAAAGACAAGGGTCAGGGGGTTGCTAAACACCCACAGGCGTGGGGCAGCCCCAAATGCGCCTCTCTTGGAAAACCCTGTGCTAGAGCAACACTCAACCACGTAACCGTAGGGTGACCACATACTTTATTATCCCATCGGGGGCGGAAAAGGTGCTCTGGATAGGTATGGGCATAAACCGACTTTTAGTCACTCTAAAAAGGCAGTGTGTGTGTGTGTGTGTGTGTTTGCGTTATTGGTGGTGGTGGTCATGGTGCTAGAATACAAAAAGCATCTGGGAAAATGTGAAGGCTAGCAGAGGTAGACGGTGTTCTGTCTCCCTTTCATTACGTAGAATGAGAGTGAAGCGGCCTCTTGGGGTAGTCGGGGGTTAAGACCCGAAGGTCTCCGTGGAAAGAAGAACAGGATACGAAGACCAGGTGAAGAGATGCTGGCTTGGACAGACATGGAGACTTTGCAGGGGAAAGGGTGAATTCAGAGAAACTGACACCACTAGGTGGAATTTGTGCTTTGAGTGCTTTGCTATATGTGGATTTTCCTTAAAATATTTTTCCTTTTCTTTATTTTATGTTATGAGTCTTTCAATGGAAATTCTCATCAGCTAAGACATGTGCTTACCTTAAGGGCCCGACCTTTCACAGCCATGGAATTCCAGCATTCTTCTTTGATAAGGGTAGCCAAATATCTCTTGGCTAGGTTATGCATCTCCACATCCTTTCTTATCTTCAAGGTCAGAGAAGAAGGACAAAGATAAAACACAAAGTGGCCTCAGAAAAACTCTTCTCATGGGGCCTCCTAACTGGTCGCAGCTGCGTGCGAAGCAGGAGATTTGAGGTGACGGTGTGGAGCTTCGACTCCTGCTGAGGAGACTGAGATGTTAACACAGAGGCCTCGGGGGGCGGGGGCAGGTTGCCCGTGCAAGGTGCTGTGAGGACAGACGTCAGGGGTGGGGAATGGATGTCTGATGCGTACTCACAGACCCGGCTGATTAGCTCTTCTGGGAAGAGAGACCACTGCACCAAGTCTTCCCCTTTTATCCGGGAAGTTTGACATCCATACTTTTACATGAAACTGCCAGATAGCGAAATGCTGGCTTAATTCTTGTCAGCACATAGGAAGGGCCCCTTTGTGACCCTACCTGGGAAACTCTGCTGTACTGAATCCCCCATTATTCACGTCTGCAGTAACCAAGATTGCCCCAGTACTGTCGGGGTCGGATCACCCCTTTCCATTTAGGAACATATAGGTTACTTCAGTTGGCTGTATCTGCTTCTATCACTTAATGTGTAAATAATTAAGTGCTCTCAGTTTACCAGTTTGCCCAAAAACCCGGTCTCAAAGTGAATCTCAACAATCCTTAGTCCTTAGGGTCCTTTCAGAAGCTCTTTCCGAATCTCACTTTGCTGGCAGGATTAGTAGGAGACTAGCTAGCAACAGCATCTCTCAGATTTTAACCTCTTAGCATCTTACCCCAAGCATCACTAGGGCAGGCGTCATTTCAGCTAACTGGTTTTTGTATTAAATAAGTTTGATAAAGTTATCATTTTTATATTTCTGGTTATATTATCTTATAAAATTAATGAAAAAATATGCATTTTTGGTCATCCTGTATTTAAGTAATTGGCCTGGTAAGCGGTTAAAATGCTCTCATTATTTTAAAAATTTTTTATGAATTTTATTATCTGATCAAACGACTTTGTTTAACTTGGATTTTATTTCTTCTTGCTTCTGACCCATTAAGCTAAGCCAGATATAGCTGCTCTGGACATCAGCTGCTGGCGCTGCCAGGGCCCGGTCCCCAGCCCTCCGTCCACTGCGGAGGCTCTTGGGCAGCTCCTCCGGACTCGGTGGCCAGCGCCATGTTCAGACGCCCACGACAGGCTCTGGGCTCGTCTGTATTACTGAGCCTGCTGGGGCTGGCTCAGGTCCCCGACTGGTAGGTCCACTAGCTCCCCAGGGACTGTGTTCTGCCCCACATGTGCTCAGAGCCACCCCCCAGCACCGTTCTCCTGTGGGTCACTGTTGAGCCCTGGGGTCTCCTCAAAAGCCAGTGCTCAGGAAAGATAAACAGCCTGAGGCAAGCTAACACAGGCAGAGCCTTTCTCTTCCCTGAGTGCTTATGTCTTTCATGGGGACTGTGGTATTGGAATTAAATGTTCCCATACTTTTGCCACCTCTTCTCCACTTTGGTCATGAAGCCTTTCCAGTTCCTCAAGATCCAGGCAAAACTCTCCTTGGTCTAACTTTGCAATATCATCCACCTTTTCATTCTCTTCCATCATATTCAGAACCTGAATTTTGAAATAAGAAAGGATGATAACAAGTAAAGAGCCAAACTCTAAACAAATGGTTTTCTTAGACTTTTTAGACAGCAATCAGTGAAAAGCAGATGTTCTGTGGATCTAAGTGTACTACTGGGTAAGAATTACATTATAGGCCCTTTGTGGTTATTGAACTTTTACGGTTTTACCTTTAAAAATTTAAACTCATTCATATAATAAAAAATCAACAAAGATATATTAGCTCACCTTAAGCTGAGTTTAAAATTCAAATGGAAAAATAATGTGGACGAAAAGTCAGCATTCTTTTGAAAAAGGAGAACAAAGGGAGAATTATTCTCAAGAGACAAAAAACATAAAGCTATAATAATTTAAAAATTTGGTATTAGCTCAGGAAAAGATTAATACTCAAACTGAGAATAGAGGATCCAGAAGCAATTTGTATACCTGGGAATCTGGGGATCGACAAGGGAAGCACTGCAGGTCAGTAGGGAAAGAGGGTCTGTTCAATCAGAAAGCTTTGAAAACTCTGGTTAGATCTATGCCTCATATCATTTGCAAAAATAAATTACTAGAGTTGTTGAAGGAGTAGCAGAAGAAAACATGTGAGATTTCGGAAGGCTTTTTTGTTTTCTTTTTGAGACAGGGCCTTGTTATGTTTCCCAGGCTGATCTCAAACATCTGGGCTCAAGGAATCCTCCTGCCTCAGCCACCTGAGTAGCTGGGACTATAGGGGTGTGTCACCGCCCCCGACTTTTGAAAGGGCTTTTAAAGTCAGACAAAAAGCAAAAGCTATACAGAAAATGATTGATACATCTGCATAATTTTAGAATTTCGCACTCAAAAAGGTACATTGGAGAAAGTCAAGATAAGACAGAAACAGTTTTTCAGATTGAGTCATATATTTTTGAAGAAAATATTTGTAGGTTAAACTAGATAAAATAGCAATTTTATGCAGTGCAACCCAACAATAAGCACTACCCCAGATTTGCCCCACGGACGCCTCCAGGTTGTTTTCCCTTTTCACCACTGGCTTGGGGCCAAGCACGGCCAGGCAGAAGCAAGGCGCTGAGGATGGCAGGGTTTGCAGCAGCCCCGGGCTCTGAGCAACAATGTGGAGCAGAACAGCTGCTAACCTGAGCACCCACCCAGGGCCAATGGCCACTTCTCATCCCAATGCCAAGTGCTTTTGGAGTTTGTTACCACAGAGTAATTATCATAAATTAAATATAAATTTAAAATAAAGATAAAGAACTCCAGGACAGGAAATACAAATAGTCTTTAGAGTTATGTGAAGGTGCTGAATCTGATTAGTAATCAGGAAAGTACAAACAAAGGGGAAATAATTACCAAAGCAAAATTTAAGTACATCTTCTTGAACTGAAAGACTAAGTTTTCCTATTTTGAGGGTTATCCAATGTGTAACACATGAAGGAGGAAAAAAAATCTAGGGCTGTGGTAGGAAACAAATGACACATTCAAATAGAAAAGTTGAAGAGAGGAACTTTTGAAAAAGATTTGGCAGGGTAAGGAGAACCAGCAAGGCATGATAAAGTGTCTTGGGCTGGCAACTGTGGGAAGCTGTCACACGCCTGGGTCTGAAGGGGGAGGGTTGAAAGCAGTGAGTGGAACCTGGGGTGCTGCGAGAGAGGGCGGGAGGGCACTGCCAACCCATGACCCCCCGGCAGAAGCTGGGGATAAGGATCCTGACACTAGTCTCCTGCCCTCTGATCTCCCACACTTGCCGCTCCTTGCCACATCCTAAGTGGAAGCCAGAAAGCAAGAGAGTCTATTGCTGCTGTCCATAAAGATCAGCCTTCTGGGGCTCAGAGCACAGGGGGAAGGGTGAGGGTACAATTTCGCAGCTATCCAAGAACATCCCTCAAACACACTGAGATGCATAACTGTGAAGCTTCCAAACATCAGAGAGAAAGAGATAGCCAATGAGTTTCCAGAGATAAAAATTTGTGTACCTATAAGGAATTGGGAATCAGAAAAGCATTTAGAGTCTCTAAAGCAGACACTTCAAGGCAAAGACAATGAGCCAAGCTTTCAAAAAGGGGAAATCATTGTATTCCTGCGTAAACCATCAAAGGAATGTGAGAACAGTGAGAAGACATTTTAAGAAATGTACCTCCTTTGTACATGCTCTCAAGGGCAGAGCCAAAGCTTGAACAACTCTCTGGGGCCGGTGCCATTCACACTGGATCACCTCTGAATGGCATCCTAGAAGTACAGCTCTGTCTTAAAGGATATTCCCAAACACAGGCCACTATGGTGGTCTTTCTAAGGGAGCTACTGGAAAAAGCAGGCCACAAAAACAAAGAAAAATATATGGAACCCAGGAAATGGGGGCTCAGACAGGGCCAGATGAGAGGGTGCCCAGGAAGATGGACAAGAGAAAGCCCTAGGAAAGCACTGTGAGTGTTTGGCATAGACAGCAAAGTGCTTAGACTGGAGATGGATGATGGAAAGCTCTAGAAAGGAGGCCACTAAAACAAGAAACCAAACAAAACAAAATCACTGATAGACTGGCTACCTCAGCTTCTGAGTAGGTAATGGATATGTAGACAGGCAATCACTAACAAAGGCAATCACTAACTCCAGGAAAAATAAAGTTGTAAAACTGACATAAGAGGTTAGGGCATGACAAAGCTGGCTGGGCACGACCCATTAATTACGAGATCCCAGAACACACACAGAACAGTTTCCAAAGCCCTGCACGTGGGCTTCTCCTGAGAACTTGAGCAGGTTTTCAACAGGAGGCCTGGACCTGAAGTCAGCCTGAGGGTCCATGCACCGCTTCTCAGGACCCGGATGTAAAAGTTCTCCTGGCTTCTGAGAGATTTGGATAGCATACAAGAAGAGGTGAACCACGAAGAGCTTACTATCATGGCTTTTCCTCAGGAGAGACCACCTTGCCTTCCCTAGGGTGTTTTTTTACCTTGCTTTGTTCTCATTTACTCGGCCCAAGCTCGTTCTGCAGAGCCAGTTTCTCCCTCACTCTTCACTTTTACTTTTTCAAATAAACTTTGCCTCTGCTTTTTGCTCATTTTGTTCAATTTTTTGTTTGAAATGAGAAGAACCTGGAATCCAACTCCAGAAGGAGAGTTGAGCAACCTAGGACCCGGTAATGCTTATTTGGCAAGCCACTTTTAGAAGGAGCTACCCAATACCAAAACTGTAATCATAATATACCCGTATACAGATTCGAAGGAGATTTACATTTACATAATACTAGAGTGCATACTGAGTATGGATTTATCTATATGTTATGGGCAGGTAATAAAAGAACCTATCTATCAATTTTGCACACCACCTATAGTTAGTGTCAAATAGACGTCCAGAAACAGCAGTGTTTAGAGAGGCAAAGATAAAGAGCCAAAAGAAAAAAATGGAAAGCAGTTCCTTCAGGACTGCAAGAATTAGAACAAAGAGAAGCAGAACAAGAGCTGCTTTTACAACATTATTTTTAATTATGCATTTCATATTGAAACAGTTAATTTTGGATTCATAAAGTGAAAGAATAAAGTTGAAGAATGAAGTCTTGAACCAAAAGAAGGAAGTTAGGAGAGTTTTTACTGGAAATGATGAGGAAAAGGCTGTGGCGGATGTCCACCAGGAGGGGATGGAAGTCCCAATTGTGTTCTTCCTCTTGGTCTTAGATGAGTAAGCAGAGTGCAAGGAGATGCTCGTTTCTAAGAAAAAGAGTTCAAAAGAAACTGGCTGTTTTGTATTTCTAATGCAGTAGGAGCTATTAACCAAGTCAGCAGACTGGGGATAAGAGCCTTCTGCCTGGGAAGAAGGTCCTCAGCTCTCATTCTTGTCTTAACCTTTTATCTTTTGTTCCTGTTTTTTCCTTTACATTTTTAAGCTCAACCAGCTGCTTGAATTAGCTCTTCCTGGTGGGCTATTTTCCTTTACTGGCCCGGCCTGTTACTTTTTCTATGTGGTCTCATTTGGTTTTGTGTTTGTTTGTTTGCTGGTGTCTTCTGCAGTGTACAACTGTCACCTTAGATGGGAAACAGGCTAAAAAGCAATCTATTTTTGTGTGCGGTATTTAATAGGGGATTTATTTGTTGACAGGATTTTTTGATAGTAGTGTGGACATGTAGCACCAAGAAAGCACATTTTGAGTCAGTGTAAATAGTAACCTTTGGCCTTTCCTGAGCTCCAGTGTTCTGGTAAGGGCTGAGTTCTGCCAGCTGGGCATTAGCTTTAGGAGTCAGGAGGGAACTTTTAAGGGTGGCCTATAAATTATCACAGCATATTGTCTTTTGTACTCCATTTTTTATACGTGGGTTTTAGTCACAGAAAAGAATCATGTGAGGGTTGGCCGTGGGGTATCTTGGAGGCCTTTTCTAGCTGTGTAAGTGTAGAGGATTATCTGTTTACAGTCATGATTGGAGGGCTCATTATTTTAGGAGAGGAAAGTGGCAGTGAGGTAGGAGATTAGAGCAGGGCAAACTGGTTGAGCAAGTGGGTGTGGCCTGTCAATCAGGGAGCCCCATGGGCCCTGGACTAGAAGTGGCTGGGCCAATCAGAAAGTGCTATATTCAATTCTCCATTTATATCTGGCACAAAACCAACTGGGCCTTTGATAGGACAGTTTAAGTCTGACATCAGGCCAAGTGAGTTTCTGATAGGACAACTGTTCCAAATGCCTTGTTTGCATGGGGAGAAGCAATCTGGGGACAGGATATATAAAAGACTCCTGCTTTCATCCTTGTGGGTGCTGTGACCTTTCCACTGGCCCACTCTCAGTCTGAGAGCATCATCCTTTTCTGCATTTCATAAATGTAAATTCTTGCTACCTTTTTATTGTCCAATTCTTTGTTCAGGACACCAAGAACCTGGAGGAAGTTTTTTGAGACCCAAAAAGCCGGTGACAGCAGTGTTTACAGAGGCACCGGTCTTTAGTTGGACAGCTGGTCTCTCTAAAAGGAGTGCCTGATATTTATAAAATGTAAATGTATAATTTTGATGAAAATGATTATTAAAATACTATATGAGGCAGGGTAGGTGGGAAAGACAGAGAAGAAAAGGGGTGTGGCTCCTCATACTTGAACTACAGTTCAAAATGTAATTGCAGTCTGACAGCCAACTGTATTAGCGTATAAAACCATGAGACTTACCGTTTTAGCAAGTTCTTTGATTCCATTTTTTATTGCTTTCCTTTTCTGGGAAAACAGCTTAACCTCCTTTTCGATAGCCTGGAATGGAGCAAGCATGTCATCTAACAAAGCAAGAGAGACCCCAGGGAGACAGATAACAGATGCTGAGAGAGACACACAGATAGCACTTCTGCAGAAATGTAAATAAAGTACTCCCAAGGACTGAAGTACAAAGTTGTTGTGAAATAACCCCTGCAATGCTTTGCTTAAATCTAACTCTGCTGTGCAAGTGGCCCCTGAAGCAATTTACAACTCTTGTCAGTTACACAGCCAATGTAAAGAAAGTAATTAAGCAAGGAAAGATTAAAGATGAATAATTGACACAAGAAAATGTAGTCTTTGGGGGGGGGGCGTTTAGCTCAGTGGTTCCGACGCCTGCCTCACAAGTGCAAGGTCCCAAGTTTGATCCCTGGTACCAACCCTGGCACCCCCCCAAAAAGAAACTATAGTTTTTGATTAGGAATTCAAGTGGGACTACACAGTGGGCTGAATGCACACAAGCTGCCAGCCTCCTGCCGGCTGTATCACCTCGGTAACACGTGAAGCCGCAGCGTCCCTTCTGCCCCTGGCCAAACCCTTTGCTTTCAGAAAACATCACCCAAAACCCACTCCAGAATGGGGCACCACAGTGCTTGACTCAAATGGTTGCTTTTGTGGGATTTCATGTTGGCCTAAGCAGTGTCCCTAAAGCTCATCTGTCTTAATCTAAAGGCCTGACCCGTATGTAGGGCGTTATTCACTTTCAGGAAAGTTACACTTGGCCCTGCCAGGCAGTGTCTCATTCAGTCTTCTAACTTTCCACTCGGTTGGCACAGGAACTTAATCTATTTGGCACATCAGACTTATCCCATGTTTCATTAATACCTCTTGGCTTTTTTGTTGTATCCAGGGAATTTCCTTCTTGCTATCAGTGATGACCAATTCCTCCTGTGATGAGTCAATGCTTAACTTGTTCTGACGCATCTTAGAAGAAGACAAACATTTCTTAAGTTAAAAATTCGTCAAGTTCTCCTCCTCCCACCGTACTTCATATAACTGTGTCGAATCCCTTTGCATTTGCTGCATTTTAAAAATACCAGATATTTGCCTGCTCAAGATGCAACATTTTATTTACTTAATTCCTACTAGTCTGTCCTTATCACAGAAATAAAAAGGCTCCAGGGACCAATAATACAAAGTGTCCATGAAACTGCACCTTGTCTAACCACCACTCTCTGCAAGAGACTTGGAAAGTCACCGAGAAAGCAGAAATGACCATGCAGCCCACAGTCCTCATGTCACAGCAGCCTCCTTCCCACTGCTGTGGTCCACATGTCCCCACCTACCCAGGCCTGCCTGCCATCTGTGTGTAGGATCTCAATCTTGCCTTCCTCCTGAGGTCTGTCCACGTCTCTGGGTCATCCGTTTCTCCCTTCTGGAACTTCCCCAAGGCATCCAAACGTACTTTAGTCTCTCTGGAAAGCTACTCCCAACTGACTGACACGTTCCCGTCCATACCGCACCCTGTCTATGCTCTTCTTTGCAGCAAAATGTCATGGAGGAGTCTGGGATGTCAAGCCCGTTTCCCCTGTGACCTCACTGGTCACCCCTCCTTTCCTCTGCTTTCCTGAACTCTTCCTCAGCTCTCTAGACCCTACTTTTCTAAGCTGCTCTCTCCTGGTCTCTTCTCTTCTCACCATCCTTTCTTCATGACCTGAACTAGCTTTATGGCTCTAAATCCCAGCCACACCCTTTGACTCTCCATCTACATCCAGTCCTGGCTCTTCCCCAAGACCCAAGGGCCCAAGTGACATCTCCTCTTGGTATCAGCTCAGGGCCACACTCATTTCAGACTCCCTTCTCTCTCCCCATAGCTGCTCCCTCCCTGCCACTGGCCCCATCCCACAAACATTGTCTCCTACACAGTTGTTCAGGGAAAAGAATCGAGGAGTTGTCCTTGACTCATTTCTTTTCCTCTCCCCGAAAGTCCAGTCTACTGCCAATTTCTATTAACTCTTCTATCAACTCCCGAGACAGGGCGCATCACTTCTGCCCTCCCTGCACTCTGCACTGCATCGTGGTCACCCAGGCCTCTGCCACAGCCTGCTGAGTAATCTCTCTGCTTCCCCTCTCTGCCCCTCTGGGAATCATTCTCTATACAGCAGCAAGTCGCCATTTTGAAAATGTAACCGAGGTTCTGTTAACCCTCTGCTCACAACACTCCAATAGATTCTTATTATGTGCCAAGTGGAAGCCAAGCTCTGACCTGGTTTGCACAGTTCCTCCTTACCTGGTCTCTTCCCCTCCAAGGACTTCATCACCTAGTGCTTTGTCCTTCGCCCACTTTAATGGCCTGGGTCTTTTGTGGGTTCTCATCCCTCACATGCCAAGGCCTGCTGCGCTGACCTGAATTCCCTGCCTCCGGCCCTGTCTCTTTGCAGGGTGGCAGCCTTTATTTTTTATTTATTGGTACTGGGAATCAAACTCGGGTCCTTTTGCTTGCAAGGCAGGCGATGGAACCACTGAGCTAAATCCCCAGCCCTAGCAGCCTTTAATTCAGATCTCAGCTTGGAAGTCTTCTTCTTGAAGAGGCCATCCAGGCAAACTCTGTCACATGAACTTATTTATTATTTTTTTGGTACTGGGGATTGAACTCGAGTCCTTGTGCTTGCAAGGCAAGCAGTGGAACCACTGAGCTAAATCCCCGGAGCTACATGAACCTATTTTTATTCACCAAATAGAACTTGTCACTGTCTAACTGTTCCTTATTTACTTTGCTTATTTATCCATCTCTCTGCAATGACCAGCCTCTGATTAGAATGCAAATACCACAAAAGAAGACTTTCTTGTTCACGGCTGTATCTCCACGTGCCTATCATTTCATAGGAAGGAACTCAATAAGTATTTGTTGATAGAATAAATGAAGGTTGCTCTCTAGCCAGACACTTCCTAAATAATAGGTTGTATGAAACTATAGATGGATCACTTTGACCAAGCACCATTATTAGTAGAAAAATTTTTTCCAGATAAGTCGAGATATTGTATTATGGTTTAAATTATTGTGACCAGGCCAGGGATTTAGCTCAGTGGTTCCGCCACCTGCCTGGCAAGTGCAAGGTCCTGAGTTCAATCCCCGGGACCAAAATAAATAAATAAATAAATAAATAGATAGATAAATAAATAAATTATTGTGACCATTTGGAGAAAGGCTGAATATTTTCATTTAGGTGTAGTTTATATTCTATTTAAAAACCATGGGATACCCGGATAAGGAGAAATATATATATATTTTTTCCGGTACCAGGGGTTGAACCCAGGACCTTGCACTTGCTAGGCAGGCGCTGTGCCACTGAGCTACATCCCTGGGCTGAGAAATGTTATTAAATATGGGCTTAAAGGAAATGTAAACTGAAAACTATATGATTTATAACCCCTTCCGCCAAAAAGCAAGCAAGCCACACTGGAACTCAACTGTATGCTCTGATTCAGGTTCCAACTCGGAGGAAAGTTTCCTTTCACGTAAATAATTATTCTCCTCTTCCATGCTGCTGTTCAGAGATGATAACAGTTGCTGGCAATATTCAGTAATTTCACTGACTGAGTTTCCTCCAAGCCTCCTATATTAGAAAATGAAACCCAGGTGATAAAGTCACATTTAAAAGACAAACACCACGTTTAGCAGTCTTGTTTCCAGATACCTAACCATGTCTGCGTGAAGAAATAGGTGCACCACCATCCACACGGCCCTGTAGTTAGCAGAACTCCACTTCCCATGGGAGAGGCCTATCTTGGCTCCAGGACACAAGCCTCTTGGTCCCTGTGGGGTGCACTCCCCTACGTGGCCCTGGCCCTGCACTGGCCGAGGCCCTGAGTATACCGGGTACCGCACTACCTGCAGATGCACCATCGCACATCATGCTAAGCCTCCCCAACACCCTGGGGAGGGGCCACTCCATGCGGCCCAGCAGGGCACTGCAAGACAGACCTGAGAGCCCCGGAAGGGCTCAGAAGAACGCATTCTTGGCCCCACTTGCAGACCTTCTGATGCAGAAAGTCAGGATGGGGACCAAGAAGACGCACTGCTAACAAACCCCCAGGAGCAGCAACCCTGCTGTCCGTGACTCAGAGGCCTGTCACATGCTCAAGGTCACAAACTCAGAAATCCCGGACCAAGGTTTCAAACCCAGCTTTGGTTTGGATCAGATTTCCAGTAATTACTGATAGATGGAAGTGTCCTTACTTCTGTAAATAAAGCTCCCACCTCCTCTACCTGTTTGCTGTTGCCTGAGATGCTGTTTGCTCACTGACTATAAAGAATGTTAGATACAAGTAAGACACAAGTTTGTATTTATTTAGGATTCTGTGTATAAAACGTGCACGATGATACAGTTCTCAAATAAGTCTTTGAAATAAGTGGCTATACAATACAAACTCCACAATATTTAACATTTGCACAGTGCTACCAAGAAAGGTTTTGTTTTATTACTGTTTAAATCACAGGAGGTATTGGGAATTTTTTTTTTTGCTGAAATGAATCGACATTGTAAGTGATGTCCATTAGCAAATAAAACCAGGCAACATTTAAGGTCCAGGCTGTTTCTTTTGTGTCATCTACATGCTCCCTACCTGCTGGTCATCATCGGTATGTTTGGGTAGCATTGATATGTTTAGAATTTTAATTTTAGTCTAAGCAAACCAAATCTAAACAAATTAATATCATTTAAGCAATATCTAACCAGTAAGTAAATGTTTGCACGCACACATACCTACATGTGTCAGCTCTCTGGGGAATAAACAGAAGTGTTTAACGTAATCTCAGGTTCACATTGTTCTCATTCCCCATCCTCCTGCAGCAGACCCTGTGGAAGGTAGCACGCTCATCCCCACATACATTAACTATGCTTCTTTGTGTTCCGTACTTTGAGGCTTTGACATCTGGGACCTCGCTCATGCTGGGGGGACCACCCCTTCTAGAGCTAGCCTGGTCCTAGAGATGGTAACAACTCACCCTGGGGTGGTCTTCCAGTCCAGAGGCCACATTCCAGCCACCTGGGGGTGGGGGCTCTCATCCCCCAGGACCACGTCCCAGCCCCTATGCCCCAGAGCCTGCTGATAGTGATCAGACTAGCCCATCCTAAGCCTGCCCAAGCCTTCTTTTGGGAACCATGGCTCTGGCCCGCATTTCCCACTCCCCAGCCACCTGACCCACCCTGATGCCTCCCCTGTGGCCTTCTAGGAGGGTGTGGCCTCCTCTCGGGGAATCTGTGAGCATAACACACCATCTTTTCAGCAGCAGCTGCCTGCTGGTATATTCACCTTGCTGTGCTTAAGTAATAGTAAGATCCAGAGCACCACCCCAGGGGCTGCTTACTGTGCGCTGCACGTACTTCCATTTGAGGAAGACCAGGCTGCCGTCATCCTTCCCATTTGCCAGGATGCTCTGTCCATCCATTGAAATTCTCACGGACTGAATCCCATGCCCCTGGTGGGAGTGGCTCCGACAGCAAGCAAATGTTTCCTCAAGAATTTTAGGGACAAACAGGAGAAGTTACAAATTCGGCTCTACATAGGGTTTTTCTAGCAGGCTGCATGCACATTTGCTTGGGGGTAAATCTTTTCTATGTGCTCACAGCACTGTCGTTGGTGTGGCAGCAGCTTTGGGGAATATGCAGCACTTAAATCCCACTTCAAACCATTTCCCAGTGCTGGTTTGTTCCTCCAGCACTTTGTTCAGCGTGGAGAGGGTTTATGGTCACTGACTCACAGTGGGCGATCAGACCCGGAGAGCTGAGGAGTCAGAGGAGGGCCCTGAGCAGGTGGAGGGCAAATTCAGATGCCTTCAAGAAGCAGGCAGGTGGCTGTGCCCAAAGTGGCTGCGGGTGATGCAAGAGTGTGACAGGAACTGTGAAGACGGTGAGACAGCGTGTCCTGAGTGAGGGTTCTCAGTAAACCAACTAGGCAAGCAAACAGAAGGCCTCCTCTCCAGGGCAGTACACAGGGCAACAGTCTAAGCTCCTTGATTAGAGACAAAGGCTGATTTCCGTGTCACACTGGTTCTCAAGCACGAGCCTTTTTCAGTTAACTTTTTCAACAGGCAATATGTTCGAACCATTCAAAATCCAAAAGCCATAACAGTGTGCCACGAAATCTCCTTTCTGTCTCCATGCTCCAATACCTCATGCAAGTAAATCAAGATACCATCAACGTCAGAGTTTTTAGGCATACATAATTTCTTACATAAATTATAACACAATATATACATTATGCACCTTGGTTTTCCCCTTAACAATCAGTATATCTTGGTGTTCCTTCTGTATCATTACATAAAGATTTCCTCATTCTGTGTCATAGCTGCATAATACTCCATGTATTACTTGTGTGCTGATTTTGTAACATAATAATCTTTTATTTACCTAGTCTTCTGTTAATGGACATTGGGTTGATTTTGCAAATAGTGCTGCCATAAGCCACCTCATATATGAGCTGCTCAGCACTCGAGTGTAGGTCAACGGATCACTCACAATTCCAACACCACCTTGCCATTAGCAGCTGCTATGAGCTGCATCGTACATGACAACTTATTTGAATAGTAGATAGTTTAGCAGTGTGCAAATCATTTACTTTAAAATAATCTCTAAGGGACTCAAGATTTTTCCATATAATCATATCACTTTTGCCCAAATATGCTCTCTCTAAGAGATGAGCAAAAGAGCTGGGATGTGTCCAGCCAGGGTGCCAGGTTATCTGTGGACTCAGGGGATTCCATGCGGATGACCAGAGCACTCCAGTGTGCGTCTGGAAACAGGGTGAGAACCATTGCCCAAACAGGGAAGGATCCCCGCCTCTTGGGGAGAAGCAAATACTTTCACTTCTGAGAGGTCCAAGGACAGTAAGAACCAGAAAGACTTCGGGGGTTCCCTGAGCTGCAGGGGTGGAGGTCACAGGCACTTCTGGGATTCCAGCTTCCCGGGGGTATCGGGCCCTCCGGCCAGGGCAGCGAGTGTGCAGAGCTCTCTGCCTTAGGGGTTTTTTTTGGTACCCGTGATCCAACTCGGGACCCTGCTCTTGTGAGGCAGGTGGCAGAACCACTCAGCTAAATCCTTGGCCTTAGGCTTTTAAATTCTCATCTGAGCACCTGGAATTCAGAGACGCTCTGTGAGTTTCCAAGACACAGAAGTGGTTGAGAGCCTGGGCTGCTGCCCTGCCCAGCGCTGTATCTGCAGATCTTACTCTGCCGGTCAGGGTTTGTTTCATTAGAGTCCAGCAAAGGCACAGAATCAGCCATAAAATGTTAGTCATTAATACCATCTGTGATTTCAAAAAGGCTGAGTCGATTAGAACAAGCTCTGATTCACTGTCTAAGAGCTTCTGTCTCTTATCTGAAACCAATATACACACCCCATGTCTTTTTTAGAAAAAGAATTTACCAAAGTGTGAACATCTCGGATGCACAGAATTCCACATTTAGCTACTGTTATGAGCCATAATCCGTGTGAAGACAGGTGGACTATTCCAGGTCCATAGTGTTTGCTTTGTACTTTTTGGTATGGTTTAAGAATGCAAACGCTGCCGTGTCCCTGCAGATCAAAGAAACGGACCACATTATAGAAAAGATCAGGTGAGCAGCAACAATGCATTTGCAGATGTGCACTGCATATACGGTCAGATTCAAATACATGAGCACAGTGCTTGGAGACAAGCCCCTACTGGATAGCACAGGCAGCTGTGTGTACCATGTGTTGAATCTTTGTCTACACATGAGTTTGTTTCTGCAAGCTAAGGAAAGTCTTCTTTCTATGTTAACATGTCATTAAAGATCCCAGCCGACATTTACAACCTTTATTTTTACCAGTCATTTTCATACATCCTCCTGTATAAGTCAAAATAAATTAGTCAGTATTCTTCTTTTTTTTTTTTTTTTTGGTGCCAGGGATTGAACTCTGGGCCTTGCAATTTCGAGGCAGGCAGCGGAACCACTGAGCTAGATCCCCGGCCCTGAAGTCAGTATCCTTACTATGTGTCTGTCCCTCACTTTTCAGAAAAGCCTTTCTCCCATCTCCCAGTCCTGCCCGCCCCCCCATACCAGCAGCCTGCACACATTATCTCTCTGTCTAAATCTGGCCTATTCTTCAAAGTCCAGATTCTCCACTAAACTCTTCTAGAAGACCCCTTGCCATGAACCAAACTTTCTTCTCCCAATTTCAAGGTCTAATACCGGCTACCCCGGGAGCAAAGGGCTTCGACTGAGGAATTTAGAAAGACAGGAAGGTAGATACTCTTGGATCCCAAAGACAGGCATTAGTGGGACACTACATGCCCAAGGGAGGAAGGACAGCGAGCAGGAGTTCACCAACCAGGGTGTGCTAGACAGTGATGAAAGGGCAGCAATGTAATTTAACATTTTGTGTAATTTTGCTTAGGGCTCATGTGCAAAGTTACGTTGAAAACCATCTACTCTTTGGTCCTTGGCATCTGTGGAATAGATTTTCTAATGTTACATTTTTTAAGGCACTAAACTAATATTGTGTCAACCGTATGTTTATCTGAGCGGTATGATACACGTGGCACACAGGTGGCTCGAGAGTGAAGCTGTTCAGATACATTTAATGATGGATTAACAGTAACACTAGTATATACCTAACTCAAGGGAATTATGTTAACATAATAAAACCAATTGCTAACTGGACTATTCTGTTAAAGCAGTTGAGAGGATCAGGCCTAATTGTACAATGCAACTTTGATCACTGAGATGAACGACAGCGTACTTTTTCAGGTAGACGATAGCTACAGATGTACGGCATGAGGTGGCAGAACCCATACATTTGGTTCCTTTGAGAGTCCAAGACTGCAGAAGTCAGAGTGTGCTCGACCTCACACAGGTGCTTGTGAATGAGCTCATCTCGAAGCCGCCCCCTTTCGTTGACAATGCCTGTAAAAAGCGCAATGTTTGGGGAAGAAAAGAGATCACTTGTACCATCCTGATTTCATATTTTAAATTATGAAAAGCAAAACAGAGATTTTAAATACTTGATTAATATTGTAAAGACTATTTGGTGATAAAAATGATTTTAAAATAACTTATCCCCACTAAAAATTCTTATGATGATAGCAAGTAAAATATATTTTGTAGACCATGGTTAATATTGTCATTTAACTTAAAGAAATATCATTAAAATAAATGTATGACAGTATAGAGATTATGAATTAAAACATAAAAAGACTGAGGGTTTCTCTGATACCCTGTAATTACATACTTACAAAAGCACTGCCCAGATACATTTGTCATCTAAAACAGAGTGCCTATTTTCTCATACTTTCCACTCCAGAAAGCTTTCTTTACAATTGTGTTAGCAAAGGTGACTGCACTGTAAACTATCTGAATTTCACTGCGTATATTCAAAGCTATAAAACCAGAGCCATCATAAAATTACACATAAATTTGACATAAATGTCAGTTGGTCTCCCTTCTTTTTCTTGCATAATGAAGCGGATCTGTGAGTTACAAGACCTGGAGCAAATTCCATACTTCAAACTGTTTGGCAGCCGCATCAGTCTGACTCTGTATAGGCCCAGGAAATGCCATTTTCCCTCTTCACCCGCTAAGAGACACAAATGCTGCCGCTAGACCCCCCCGCCCCCACAAACAAACAAACAAAAACAAAGCAAAACAAAAAAGAAAAGAAAATTATAGCAGCCACTTAACTGGGCCAGAACAGAGGGGACTGGTGGTTCATTTTTCTTTACCTTGTGGCAGCTTTTTAGGCAGAGTAAATATTTCCAGCCTGCTTCTTTCTGCTTCTGGAAGCGAGGAAAGCACCATCGCTTTCACTGCCTTTGTTCCCCAAAGAGACACTGTGGATATTTGAAGAACGTCCTTGCTCACCTCTAAAAGCAAATGGAATCAACCCACAGTGGCCACTGGTTAAATTCAAAGACTCTTTACTATCTCAATCCAGATATCACATGACAGGCTTGTCTTCACTCAGTCTCTAGAACCCAATTTAGTTACTGATACTCAAGTTCAAAGTGACCTTTAAATGTAAGGAACAGGGACTTAATTTTTTCTGGTACTGAGGCTTAATCGCAGAGCCTCTGAAGTGAGCTACATCCTCAGTCCTATGTGGTTTTTATTTTGAGACAGGGTCTCACTAAGTTGCTCAACTGCCCAGGCTGGGCTTGAACTTCCAGTCCTCCTGCCTCAGCCTCCCAGAGTCCCATCCTGCCTGGCCATGACGCGGACTATCTAGGCCAGCTCGGTCTGGCCCAGCACCTTTCCCACCTGGGCAGCTTCCACTCTCCACACCCCAAGTGTGCTGGCTGTCTAGCAGTCTGTCCTCTCACTACCGGGTAGGGTCGGGCATCGCGGCTCTTCCCGTCCACAGAGAGCGTGGTTGTGATAGAAACACTCACGTGACTCTGAGTGTGTCCTCTGAAGCCCAGTGTCTGACCTCAGCAGGGTTTGCTGCCCCTGGAGGCTCCCCTCCCACTGTCCTCTGCTCATTCCAGGGCTTGACGCCCTCACCAAGCCTCCGAATCTCTCCACTTCTCCCCTTCGCTTCCCAACACGGACCCAGAATCGACCTCAGGCCTGTCTGATTCTGAGCTGGTCTCTCCCAGCTCCACCTGGACCTTGCACTGGCACTCGCCTCTTCTTATCCTCTCGGGACCCCTGTGGACCCTTCTGCTCTGTGTCCCAGATCCACAACTGGGAGAAGAACCTTCCTTCAGCCCCGCAGCCCTTTAGCAGTTACCATTCCCTTCTCTGCTCTGCAAACTTCCCAAGAGGCTGTCCCCTTCCTGGCTTCCTTTCCGTGCCTTGACTCCCTCTGACCGCTGCCTCAGGGTCACCTGCTGCGTGGTAACCCCAGTGCTGTCGCCTCCCTGCCCATCTGCTGCCATCCGATGTACACGCTGAGGGTGTCGTTTGGCCCCAGTAAGCATTAGGTTTGCCTGTGTGTACGCAGGCATGTGTGTTTACACACGGATTGTGCTGGGATTGAACCCAGGGTCTCAGGCATACTAGGCAAGCCCTCTACCACTGACCTACATCCCCAGCCCCTCAGTTTCCTTCTACTCTCTTCTTGAGCCATCTAATCAGTTTCCATGTTTTTTCAGTCCAGATTCCATCCTTAAATCTTGATCTATGTATCTCTATTTCTAAACTACTGTTAAATATCCCCAAATGAAGAATTATTGACTTGAAACCCACAGAGCCTATCAGTTCACCCTATCCTTCAACCTCAAAAACTTTCTTCAGCATGGTGCTGCATGCCTGTAATCCCAGCACTCAGAAGGCTGAGGCAGGAAGATCACCTTAAGTTCAAAGGCAGCCTCAGATACACAGTGAGCTGAAGCCCAGCCTGAACTACATAGCAAGACCCTGTCTCAAAAAAACAGACAACAAAACAAAACAAACCAAACCAACTTCCTTCAGATGTGATACATATAGACAACAGAGTATCATCTGGTCATGAAGAACAGAATTTTGCCATTTGCAGGAAAATGGATGGAACTGGAGATTGTGGTGTTGAGTAAAATAAGCCAGATTCAGAAAGACAAATATTGCATGTCCTCCCTAACATGTGGAATGTTTTAAAATGTTGTGAAAGTAGAAGGGAGATTAATATTAGACAAGAAGGGAATAAGGGGGAGAGATCTATAAGGGAGAGCACTGGGGGATGAATAGGATCAAAATGTACTCACAGAAACCCAACATTCTGTAAAATTAATAGACATTAATAAATAATAAAGGAAAACTAGTAATAAAAACAGACAAGCTCAAATTTTAAATTAAAAAAGAAATATAAAAGGACAAAGAATTTTATATAAATGGAATAGCATAAAATTTACTGGTTTCTTTCACTCAGTGTAATTAATTTGAGGTTCATTCATGTTGCGTGCATCACAGATTTTGTTCCTAATATTCCTCTGTATGGATTTCCAATTTGTCCATTCACTATTGATGGACAATGTGGCTCTTTTCAGTTTTTGGCTACTGCAAATAAAGCTACTGTGAACAGTTACATATCAAATAAGTATGCGTTATTCTAAAGAAATATTTCAGGGGCCTGGGGATTTAGCTCAGTGGTTTCACTGCCTGCTGCGCAAGCACAAAGACCCAAGTTTAATTCCCGGTACCAAAAAAAAATATTTCAGGGAAAAATCACCCCCTACTTCTCCTTGTAAGAATATCAGAACTGTCCAGTTATTTCACTAATTCAATAGTTGATATTAAAAAATATTTTTGCATCAACTATGTTCTGAGCAGTTAACACTTCTTCTCCAAATACCTCTAAATACAATGTGAGTACTCTCCTAAGTAACTTTTAACTGTAATTTTAGTGATTTTTTTTCTTTCAGAAAATATGCCATAAATACTTGTTTTGCCATAGTTCCATTTTCATGGCCTTAAGTTTTTTGGAATAAAGTGACCGACCTTTTAAATTAATAAATATCCTCTGTCGCACCTGTGAATCCAAGAATCTGAAATAATCTTGTGGGTTTGGCATCGATAACAAAGATGTTTCCTTCTGATGTTCCAACTAACAAGTACAGTCCTCGCTGGTCATAACTGGAAAAGAAGAAATCTAATGATCAGATCTTACTCAGCAGCTAGATGCTAAATAAGTCTATTGGATGAATGGCCATAGAAACACATTCAAAACCAGTCATTCTTATGGTTCATGATTTTTAATAATCTCTGACCTTAAGAAAGCTGAGAGATAAATCACTCTACTCTAGGCCAATGCTATTCCAAGTTACAACTTAAAAAATATAGTCAAGACGATTCAGGAAAGATGGGCAATTATTTCATCATAAATGAATGAAATGTCAGTAGAGCTTTCTCAAAATTTCAAGTGGAAATAAGCAATTCTCAAATTAGTGATGGATGTGCCATTTCAGTACCTTATGACTAGTTCCCAGCAAGAGGAGGACAAACATAGGAAAACATTTCTACAATTTCTTCACAAAGTAGAAAGATACAAATCAGAATAAGAGATAAGGATCTGAGGAAAAAGAGGCACAAAAAACATATGGTTCAGAAAAGCAGAGGGGGAGCCAGGGAGTAAGAGCCCCTTCCCCTCTCAGAACCTGGGTTCTCTAACCCAACAGGGGTCAGTGTACTTCCTTCTGACCAGCGTTTTGGGGTCACGTTCAATGAGCTGCAGTAAAGACAGCAAGAATAACAGCAACGTGCAAGTCCAAATTCAAGGTGTCCACAGTGCTTTAAAAAGAGTACTTCAAAAGATTTGAAATAATCTAAATGTCCATCGATATACTGTTCTTTTAAAATAAAAATATCCATATGATGGAATACTACAGAACTATAAAGAAAAACGAGGAAGGTCTTTACGGAGATATAAAACCTTCTTCAGTGTATACCACTCGTGTGGGGGAAGGCGCCTCAGGACACCGTAGTTTGTTCTCTTTAAAAGCAGTGGCAGAGCCTGAGCCGGGCCGCGGGGCCTCCGACCGACCCTGACAGGAGGCTCAGCATCTGGGTAACTGAGCAAGTTCCTTAAAGTCCTTGTGCCTGCGTCCCCGTGTGAGCAAAGGAAAGCAGCCGCCGCCTGGCGCCTGGCGGGGCGGCCACTTCAGTCCGGGAGAGGAGCAGGCTGCCTGGGGAGAGCTGGGAGCGCAGGGCCAATGCACACCCTCTGCGCTTCGGGATGCAGACGTGGAGAGCACACTAACACTCAGAACAAACGCAAAGCTTAAAAGCAGGCTGGCCCGGCTGGCGTCCTCAGCAGGCAGGCGGACAGGCTCCCCACAGCGCTGCGACCCGGTGCTTACGTGAGGTGCTGCACAGGCGCCCGGGAGAGGAAGGCCGCGTGGACCACGCTCGGGGACTCCACCTCGCGGACGTCCAGGAAGTGCACGCAGCCGTCCAGCGTTCCCACCACCGCTGACAGGGAGGATGGGGAGCAGGCCAGGGTTGTCGCCTGTTCGGGACACATCCAGGAAAAGGGAGTCAGCTCTGCTGCACACGCCAGGCCGAGTGGGCGCCGTCCTCTGGGAGGCAGAGGGGCGCTTGACGTGTGCGGGCCCCGGGGCCATCCGGAGTGCGCACACAGCACATGCAAGCACACGTGCACACACAGCCTCATGCGCATACACAACCACGTGTGCAGCACAAGCGCGCGTGCACACAGGCACAGGCACACACAAGCACGTGCGCACGCACATCTACACTTTCTGGCAAAGCCTGCAGGGCAGGCGTGGCACGTGTGGTGCGGCACACACTGCAGATCACACTCAACCCTCCCGAGCTAACCAGTTGCATGAGCAGTCACCGGGTCTGTACATACACCTAATTCTTAAATCCTAAAATAATAGAATATAAGGAAGTTTTTTTAACTTTACACCATAGCATTATTTTATCCTTAAATGATGATCAAATGATTATGCCAGTAACTTTTACAAAACACCAACAGTAGTGAAAAACACGTTAAGAAATCAAACAGATTCCTGGTATCTTTTGGACATTTTTGAAAAATGTTAGCAATTTTTAAAACCAGCATTTGTCTTCTGAGACATGGTGAATCTTGGGATGCTGAGGGGGACTGAAGATAATTCTGTCCCTGGACCATACATTAAAAACAAAACCAAAAATCCATACCAGATCCCTTTTGTCTGACAGACATTTACACAGAACAGGACGTTGGAGAGAACATATTTACTCCCGCAATATGTAAGGAGTCAGATTCCTCCCCTATGGTTATCCTTTGAAGACTGTCTTCAGGACAGTTGTGGAATGCTAGGGCTGAAAAGGAACTTCAGAGATCACTGTTTTGCAGGATGGAAGATGGAGGCAGAGGAGATGCAGGACCCTGTGCCCAGGACCCACAGCTGGTGACGAAGCTCAGATGACCAGTGTTCAGGCTCATTAGAGCACGACAGCCTTCCAATTGAGGGGGCTTTTACTTTTTTAATTATAATTTTATAATTATAATTTTGAGCACGTCCATTGAACAATAAGATGGCTTTCTTTGGGACATTCTTAGACATGCATATCCCAGACCTCGATGGTGTCTATCTTCCCTGCCACCTCTCTAGTCCCTGACCCCCCTAGTAGTAGTGTCCCTTCTGTTTTCACATCATCTTCCTCCCCGACTCGATTCCACGTATGAGAAAAAACGCCATGCTGGTTTTTCTGAGGCTGGCTTATTCTGTCTAACATGATGACCCCCCAGTTCCATCAGTTTTCCTGTAAATTATCACTTCAACAGAAAGCCTTTGTGGCACCTCTCAGGGTATGCTATGTGAGGTGTGTTCCCCAAAGAGTTCATTCCAGGGTAACAGTGGGGTAGTCCACAAAAGAAACAGCAATGGCCAGAGGAGGTAATCGGGGCAGGCTGGCTGTGTGCAGGTGTCTAGCCATGGGGCTTCGAGGCTGGGTTCCCCGAGGACCATTGCCTAAAGCGTTCACAGGCACAGGCAGGGAGACTGCCTGTTCACTAGTCCTTCGGGGCAGAGGTTTCCTCCAGCAGGGAGAGGCCCGTGTCTTCCCCAGCTAAATCACATGAGTGTACCCTCCTGGCTCAGGGCTCAGGGAAGATTGGCAGAGGCCTTCGGATGGTGCATGTATCCCTCTTGGATGAAAGGAACAAGGTAAGTCCTGGTTTACTGGCCCCTGTGGTGCTGTGAAACATCTGTATGTGTCTCATGTGTAGAAAGAGCTGTGATCAGATGAACTTGTAAGATCTCTGGTGTGGTGACTAACTAATGATCAACTTGGAACACCCAGCTGAACTGAATCAATGGGGTTTAGGGTGTGGAAGACCCACCTGAGGATTGTTGCCTATGGCATAAAAAGAGAAACAGAGGGGAAGATTGTGGGCTGTTGATTTTCTTGGAGAAGCTTGCTGCAGTTGGTTTTCCTGATGTAAACCGTCATCGTTGGAGGAGCTCAGGGCCTCGCTGTCATTGGGAATGGCTGCTGCTGTCATCAAGGGAGCTCTGATCTTCGCCTTGAGGGTCACTTCCTGTCTCCGTGGAGACCCTTCAGCCTAGTGGCACAGATCCTTCACCACGCAGGCGCAGGCTTTCTGGCTTCCACCACTGGCCTTGGGCCTTCCTGGTGCAGATCCTGGATACGGACTTGCATGAGACATTGCTGTGGGCTCTGGGCCTTCAGCTGGACTCATGCAGGACACTGCCGTGGCATCCAGGCCCTCCCTCGACTGGATTCTTTGGGTCTCTAGCATGTGGACAGATCTCTTGCACTCCTTTGCATTTGACTTTTTGAGTGAATATTATAAAGTAATCCTATAAATTATGTGTCCTGTATTAAATCTATTCCCTTGCAAACCCTGACTACAACAACTAGCTGTAGAAACTCTAATAGAATTTATCATATAAGCTTTTGTCACACAGATTATGGAGTCTTCTTACATTTCAGTCTTTTAGCCAAGAATTTTTACCTTGGGAGAGTTTCATTTACCCTACTGAATGGTGTATCATTTGCATCTTGTAATATTTTTACGTAAGGTATGATACTTAGTCTTTTATAATTGAGCTTTTAATTTTATAAAGGGGAAAGAGTGTAATTTACCTACCTACTAAGACCCATAGCTCATCTAGAGCTCATCATGTGCAATGTAGCCCATGATGGTAATTAGTAGGAAAAAACCAAGCATTACCATTGTTTCTTGGTCCTTTTTAAAACATTATTGTATAAAAAACGCACTGTGAACATGACAGAAGCAATTGCATCCCTCTGAAGAAGGTGCTGTACCTTAACACCCTCCTAAATATGCAATGAGTAACAACCTTTCCCTGTTTCCAGGCTTGAGTGGACTGGACCTGACTCACATTTCCAGGGTTGAGCTTATGCCAGTTAGCATATGTCACCCCACTATCCACAGCGAGTAGCTCACGGACGTTATTAAGACATGAGAAGACATGTACTAAGTTTTCTAGAAAGTAGAATCTTCTTTTCTCTTCCTTCTCCCGCTGTCAGAAGCTTCCTTCTCTGCAGTGGGATGCCAGGCTGGCACTGCTGGCACTGGATGCCAGGACATGAGGCCTAAGATGAGACTAAAGCCACTGAGTAGCTACAGAAAAACTGGGTCGCTGCTGGACTGAGGTGCACGTGAGGCCAGACAAGTTCTGTACTTGATAGTTGACTGGTCCAATAATCTCCCACTGTGAAATTTTTTACTTAATCTGGTTGGAGTGGCAATTTTCTTTCATTTCTAATTGATCTTCTTGCAAAGTGGAGTCATTTAACTGTTACGGCCCAGGAGCTGTTTCATTGCTGAGCAAAAGCAACAGCCCTCCTGCCTGCTCTTCCTCCCAGCCTGCCTCCCTGAGTGCCAGTGTGCAACAGAGACCCCCTGTCTGTCCACAACAAACGCACAGGGTGAGTGAGACAGAGACCCCTAAGATTCCAGAAGTAGCTGTCACCACTGAAGAATGTACCCTGGCTTATGTATACACTGATAAAGTACGTCGCATCCCGCTGTGTTGGCTGCACATACGCTGCACACAGGGATAGCTCTCCATCTATCAAGTAAAAATGCAATCAGCCTTCTGCAGCAAGCATTTTCACAGACTACTGAGATATCAGTATGGGAAGGTAGACTGGGCTAGAATTCAGTACTTTTAAAAAAATCCACTTCTCGGGCACACTTACTGTGGTATTCAGATAAATCTTGCTTGCACAAGTACAATCCTCCAGCCACCAGACACAAACTTCCCCTGAAAGTGTGAGTGTCTGTAAAAGAAAGAAGGCTAAAATTCCAAGTGGAAAATAAGACTCTGCCAGGAAACACATTCTAAAATGCTGTCTAGTATGTCAACCTGAGGCGTTAGTAAAAACATTTCATTCTACTTAAGTAGATTATAAATAATTATTTCAATATCATACTTCCTTTCTAAAGAAATATTAAATAATATTTTAAGGATTCATGACAAATGTATTATGTCTAGTGGAGTTTAATGCTTTTATTAGCCTATAATGACAGGATTTCCTACATTAAAATGGCCTTGATCTCATTTTAAAAAAATAAACATTTTTTATATTTCACATAAAAAATAAATATTTTAGTGCAATTTAAGTAGAACATATAACTAAGATTACAAAAGTAAAATAAAAAATTTTTCCAAAGAACATATTTAAGATAAAAGTTACTTGGAAATTCAATGAGATTATTGCCTGTATTAGCTTTCTTGTTGCTGGGACAAAATATCAGGCACCAGGAACCTAAAGGAGGAGAGGTTTATTTTTGGCTCAGGGCTTCCATGGTCAGCTGGCTCCAAGGCAAGAACATCATGGCAGAATGGTGAGGTGGAGCAAAGCAGCTCACTTCCTGGTGGCCAGGAAGCAGAGTACAGGGGAAGAATGCCCAAGAGAGAGACTCCCCAAAGGCATGTCCCTAGTGACCACCTCCTCAACTGAGCTCTACTCCTAACAGCACATTCAGCTATGACCATCAGTCTTTAGAAAGGAAATTTTTAGGTAGATTGAATTCTTGCTTTGTGCACAGCAAATATTTCATTTTCATCCATAGGTGTGTGGCTCTCATTCTAAAAGGAAGTAAATATTGAGTGTTTAACAGCCTGGCTTGCAAATCTTGGTTGGTGAAGCATAGAAGATGGCTTCTAAGATCTCAATTGTTTTGACTGCTTTCAGGAGACAACATTATGAAGTCACAATATGATGATGTCCTTCTAATAGGGGAATGGTTTGATGATGGAAATGCTTGATATCTGTTACTGTTTGGATCCAAAATGTCCCCCCAAAGTCTCCTGTGTTCAGAAGGTGATTGGATCATGGGTGCGCAGTGGATTCATCCATTGATGGGTTCAGTAGCTGAATGTGGTTTTAGGAGTTGGGGCCTGGTTGGAAGTGACTCACTGGGGTGTGGCCTGGAAGGGTGTACATATTCTTATCCCTGGCTCCTCTCTTCTCTCTCTGCTTCCTGGATGCCTTGGGATGAGCAGCTTTCCTCTGCCCAGGCTCTTCCACTATGACCTTTCTGCCTGGGAGCCAGCTGACCATGGACTGAAACTGTGAGCCAAAATAAACCTTTCCTTCAAGTTGTGGGTGTGGGTGTTTTGTCCCAACAGGAAAGTAACCATGACAACATCTCTACATTTATCTTCAAAGACACCCTGGTTAATGTCTCCTCTGAGTAACTACTTTGAAGATAATGAAATACAATGTATTAACTATTGTTATACTCTTATTTTGTTTTATTTTTTCATAAAATAAAAAGGAATGCTAACTCAGTGCTGTGCAAAAATAGATTCCATTAAGTGTTACAGAAAAACACTGAAAGACAAAAAAGATACCCTCTGCCTCTTACTTGCAGTACTTTGCACATGAAATTCAAAAGTTACCCAATGACATATGAATAGGAATTCAAATCTGGAAACATCATATTGTTAAATCCTATTACATCATGGTCACATATTCCTTACCATGAAGTGTTTGGTTCCAGGTGTGATGAAGTCAATTGCCTGAAATTTTCCATCACAAGCATCTAGGACTTTATCTAAGGTTGGCTCCTCACCAAAAGTGTAGATATAAACAGATCCCTGATAAATGTAAGGGGGGTGGAGGTTAAAATTGCTGCATATATAGCTCAACAGATATTTATTCAATATTCAATGCCTACAGTGAGTAAGGCACTGTGTGGGAACGAGTGGTGGAAAATCATAGAACTCAATAAGGCTCTGACTTGAATTTAAAATCTAGATCCATCATTTGCTTATTGATTGGTTGTTACATTCATCCACCATTCAAAATAATAAATAGGAAGAATCCCAGGCACTTGTTTTTAAATTACAAAACATAACAAAGCATTTTTCCCTGATTTTAAAACTAATATGTATTTATGTAGACAATGTGGAAAATGTGGGAAACCAGAAAAGTTGTTAAGTAAATTCTACAACATGCTAAACATAATGCTGGGCACAGGGCCGGGGATTTAGCTCAGTGGTGCCGCCGCCTGCCTCG